TACCCAGTCATTTCCCATGGTGGTCACTTTTGACCGGGAACACCGCAAGTATAACAAGGTTGATTAAAACACTCAAAATTCAATAAAGGAAGTGATCATCGCTTTTACATGTTTGAGGGCATAGTGTGGAGGATATTATAAGGTCTTTAGACAATCATTTGTACGACACAATATTTATGAGTGTTTTAAGTTTTGAACCGGTCATATTTGACCCAAACACGACAGAAAGGATAAAAGAAGGAGCAGCAGAGACTCTTACGTATGTATGGGACTTTGTCAGACTTTGACAAGGGCTTTGTCAGTAACTGTTACAGTTCATATGGACCAGTTTCTTCTTGAAGTCAGAATTATAAGCCTCCCTTAGATTTTTTTCCTTTTTTAAATATTTCCCAAATTATGTTTAACAAAGCAAGGAAATTTTCACAGTATGTCTGATAATATTTTGTCTAATAGAGAAAGTTTTATTTGTTTTATTTCGGCCAGAATAAAAGCAGTTATTTTTTTAAATATAATATATAAAATATAATAAAGTAAAATATTTTTTACTGTCATCATGGCAAAGATCAAATAAATCAGTTATTAGAAATGAGTTATTAAAACTATTATGCTTAGAAATGTGTTGAACAAATCTTCTCTCCGTTAAACAGAAATTGGGAGAAAATATAAACAGGTGGTTAATTATTCAGGGGGGCTTATAATTCTGACTTCAACTGTAAGTGGAATTAAAATAGTTTTGTGTAATTTGCAAAATATGTGTTTGATTGTGTGTTATAAATTGTAATTGCCCCACGCAGCTTGTAATCACGTATCTAGTATAGATCAGTGCTTATACTGTATCTCTGGGGCTGTTCACATATTTTGTCCAAAACCACGTTAAAAACGAGATCATGCTTCTTCCTTTACCGATTTAAATGCGTTTCTGAAGTGGCGATCCTCTGTTGTTTGTCTTTGCTATGGCCGCCATCAGCTGTTTCTCACACACACAGTGCTGTAAATTTCCAAAATAGTTCAACTTTTGGCAGTTTGTGGATAAATACTGAATGTGTGTCATTGTTATTACTTGGGGTTAGGTTTAAGAGTAGTGCAATATGCTGGTGTTCAACGGCAATGCTTTATTGCATACCTGCATTGGGCTCTTGCATACTGTGTGCCACTTCATAGCCATGGTGGGCATTTCTCTCTGTCTCGTGCTGATCGCAGTCGATCAATAACAACAGACTGGGTCACCGAACCAATCAGCATCGATTAGCTTCGCACTAAGGAGGGGTTTGGGAATTAATGAAATGCTGAACGAATCATTTGGGAGTCGTTGAGATAATTAGGGAAAAATAAATGCTTATTAAAAGACAAAGACAGTGTTTTTGACCCTGCATGCATATCAGCCTGTTGTTGGAGACCCTAAAACCATATGCCCTTTAATAATGCAAAATAGTGGCTCTTTAAAAACAATATATAAATATATGACACGGAAAATGTTTCCCTTTGATTTAACTGGGACTTTAGGATACCACAGATTTTTTTTTTTGGTGCTCATCAGCAAGGGCTGGGCAAACCCTGATTGTTATTGTCATGGTTAAGGTCAAGGTTTCCATAGCAACAGGCACCAATGGGGTTGCAGTGATAATGGTATGAATAATTTATCACATGGAAGGATTATAACTGAGTTCCCAAACACCTCCTGGTGTGTGACTGTATGTGCACCTGTGCAAAATGTATATGTCTACTTCCTCGTTTATCATCATAACATCACTGCAGCATACCAACTCCAGGTGATGCGTTGCCATGGCGTTTCTGTCACATTCTCTAATTAGAATCACAGTGACATTGAGTCGTCATGGAAATGCTCATTTGCGTTTTCCTCATTATTCACTCGGCTTTCTGAAGGTGACTGAATGTCTGGGAATGTGCCTGACGAAAATGAGATGCTTAATTAGTTGTTGTGTATTAAATGTGCAATTACATATCTATTAATTTACTGTTTTCAAGAGATAATGTTAAATGGGGAAATTAATGAACTAATTAATCATCACCACCACCATGGCATAAGCATAATTGATTAGGCTGTGATCAGCTAGTTTGAATATTAATATCGTTTATGCATAATGAATAGCTTCTTAAGCATGTTTAGCAGAATAAGACTGCTATTAAGGTCAGATGAGCAGCACACATACACACACACGCACACACACACACACACTCACATTCACATACAGGTTGTTTATTTCACCATTTAGTGATATTCTCTCGCTTTCTGTCAGTCTCCGCACCCCCCATTCCCTGTCTCACCCTCGGAGAAAGCTGCCATCTGGACCACTTTCATTTAGCACACACACACACACAAACATGCACACACACACACACACACACACACACACACACACACACACACACACACACACACATACATCTGGAGATTAATAAATCAAGCCATAGACATTTGATGGAAATATCACCCAGAATTTAACACACTACTCTGGTGGTCTTGATTAGGATTGTCAGTATTTTACTGCTAAATGGGGTTGAGTTTAATGAATGGAAAGTCTACCTGCTGGCTTTGGCTGAGAGGAATCCCCTCTGTGACTGACCTTAGTCCTCAGTGTAAACATTTATACCTGCTAATCAGTTTACGTTGCTTGTGTACTGTTGAAAGCAAATTTATTAGCTCTAGCTCTTGTGAAATTTCACTTGGTGAATATTTCCCAAGTGCTGTTTAACAGAGCAATTCATTTTTCACAGTATTTTCTTTTGTAAAAAGTCTTTCTTTTCACATTTTCATAAATTTTAAGGTCAATTATTTATCATTAGCATCTTTAAGATTTATTTTTTCTTTTATATTGGCTACAGAACAAAGCGCTGTTGTCCAATGAATAATGTAACTTGCCTAGTTGACCTCACCAACCTAGTTAAACCTTTGGAACTATTTTAAAGATCTAGGTGCAAAGTCTAAAGCGCATAGCGCAAAAGCATTAAGGGTGTGTCCGAATCCACTTTAGCTATTTTAAGGATGGAGATATACACTCTGCGACCCGGCGCATGGTCTAACAGGATTGTGCTTATTCTCTTATTGAGTTCTGGGTGTGTTTTGAGCATAATGTGCATTAAACCAATCAGAGTCCTGCTCCCATTACCTTTAAGAGTCAGTTGTTTTGCGCCATGCTATTTACATGGCGAACTTTGTAAGTAGAAAAGCTAAATGCTCCAATAGCGAGAAAACATTTAAGCAAACCATCTGCAAAGAATGAGCCTCCTCCGTTCGGCCTCTTTACTTTCTTTTTACTTTACTTTTACTCTTTATTTTATTCCTTTACTCTCGTGGATAATGAAACGGTGTTGTACACACTCCACTGAAGACATCCATGAGCCTGCATATTAAATTTCGTTTATTAAGCGCGAAGATTTGTTTCAAAACTATTTCTAAATTCAGTTCTTATTTCCAGCAAACGAATAAATGAACAATAATTTGTGGAGTTATGTCCAAACCAACATCCTATTCTTTTGCCTCATATGGTGATGCATATGTCTCCAAAACTCAACAGGTGGACAAATCTAAACTTCTTTTATTTAACCAAATATAAATATGTATATAATAAATAATACCGCTAATAATAATAACATGAATCATTTCATGAATAAACTGAAAAAGCCCCACGACATGAGGCATGGAGGTAGTGGTTTTTATATTTATGTAGTAAATAAATTTTTGTAACATTTTATTCCTTTATTTATTTCATATCTAAAGATATTTGTATATTTTATTACATCCTTTGTATATCAAGCATTTGGACCTGCATAGACGCATAACTAATGCTGGACTTTAGACCAGCTTTTACTTGGTCAATGATGTGGTCTATTTCAGTTTTTAAAAATAGCAACGCACAAACAATGCGCCTTAACACACCTCCTTTGTAGACCTGCACACCCATGAGTCCACAAAGTGGTGCAAACAGATTTGTTATTTAAACAATGTGGCACAAAAGGTGAAATGTAGGGTTGCGCTGGTCTGAAAATAGCAACAAGTTGCGCAAAACCCACTTGCGCCTCATTGTAATAAAATAGTTATTAAAACTATTAGGTTTAAAATGGGTTGTAAAATGGGTTGTTTTCTTTGGTAAACATCCCTTGAATTTTTTTTTTTTTGAGAATTAAAATAAAATATTAAAAATAATTTAAAAAAATTGCCACAAGAGAGATAATTAATCTGTCTTCAACTGTACACATATATAAACTATAAAAATGTTCAGAAAGTAGTAATTAATTTAAATGAAAATACATTAATTTATCTTACTATGCAAATTTACATGTTTTTGTAGTTTTTCAGAATTAAATATTAATTATTTAATTATATGGATATTAACAACATATGCTATATTTCCTGAAACATATTTAATTTTAATGTTCAATTCTTCAAATGTAACATGCTGATTTAGAATTCAAGGATGCACATAAGTTATTTGGTCTTGAAAGGGAACTGTTTTTAATATGGGAACCAGGCCCTTGTCCATTCACTCAGAGACCAACTTTATTTTTGTTCTGCTCAGAGAATATCCCACTCCATCTGATAAGTTTAAATTAAATCTGAGGTAATGCAAACTAAATCCAAAACCTACTGACACCCCTATAAAACAAATATTTGATGTAGAGAAATCAACTGCATTATTTCACCATCTAACAACACACATTTTAAATGTTCGTAAAATTATCATAATCATCTGGCAATTTTCTGCACATTTTGCAAGTAAAAATGAACATATAATTATATGTTTTTATTCTAAACTCGCCTCGTAGCTACATTTGAGTGTCTGAAACCAATCCTTCTGGAGATGATTCCAAAGTCATGTTTTTTTTAGTCAAGCTGAATCAATGAAAGCAGTTAAATCTTCAGTTTATTTAGCAACCGATAAATAAGCCAGACGAAAAAAACAAATATGCATTCACAGTTATAAAATGCTTCATCATTATTGTTTTGTCAGAGGTAAAACTCTTTTGTCTTCTTTTTGCAGAGCTCCTGGGTGCTGCTAAGAAGGTGAATGTGAACTTCCAGGACACAGACGGGTGAGTTTCAGCTATACTGCAGCAACATCACTGACTGTTTACACACACATGAAAACTATCAGTTAAATTGATTTTTTAGAGATTATTCATAAAATATTCAATAAACTAAACAGTGATCAGCTGATGTGGATTGTTCAGATGATATCCAATAGTATCCGACTGCAGACATGCAATCCCAGACACAATTCACTCAATAAAGCCAATGATGTCACTGGAAGGGGTAGGGTTAGGGCAGGGTTAGGTGTGTGCATGCTGCTCAGCTTGCACCTGCATCCAGTTTGCAGCCAGACCCTTTTCAGGATATTGCCTATAATAACAAACAGAAACAAAGTAAACCCAACAAACCTGAAAAAACCCTTGATAAAACTTAACCAGATTTCAGTAATTAACTGGATTGTTAAAAGTTGATGTTATTGGTCAGCATAGCCATTAGGTTTAATAATGTTTTTGGTTACTATTATACAATCTATTATCATTGCATGCTCATATTATTTGGTGAACAAGCATTTATGGTGAATTACTGTAAAATTTTCAAGATTTCCACAGTTCAGAATACAACTACAGAAAAGGAGTGACCAAATGTCCCCACAAGTATAGCAAAACAAGTCATTTTTACCTTGTCGAGATATTTATTCTGGTTTCCATGAGGAAAATGTCTTGCAAATGAATGTGAATGAAGACTAGAATGAAGTATTTTGTAGAATGTAAAAATGCTGAATGTTTCCTGTGAGGTGGCATCATGGTGGTGCAGTGGGTAGCACGATCACCTCACAGCAAGATGGTCTCTGGTTGGCTGGGTCAATTGACATTTCTGTGGGGAGTTTACATGTTCTCACTGTGTTCGCTTGGGTTTTCTCTGGGTGCTCCGGTTTCCCCCACAGTCTTAAGATATGCGGTACAGTTGAATTGAGAAAGCTAAATTGACCTTAGAGTATGTGTGTGAATGAGAGTGTATGGGTGTTTCCCAGTGTTGCAGCTGGAAGGGCATCTGCTGCATAAAAATATGCTGGATAAGTTGATGGTTCATTCCGCTGTGGTGACCCCTGATGAATAAGGACTAAGCCGAAAAAAAAAAATGAATGAATGAATGAATGAATGTTTCCAGTTGGGGGTTAGAATAGGTAGTTTATACCAGTGTTTCCCAACCCTGTTCCCGAAGGCACACCAACTGTACACATTGTCAGCCTCTTCCTATTCAAACACACCTGAATCAAATCATTAGAGCATTAGAAGAAACTCAAAAACCTGAAATGAATGAGTCAGATAAGCGAGACGTCCAAAATATGTACTGTTGATGTGCCTCCAGGAACAGGGTTGGGAAACACTGGTTTATTCATTATAAAAATCATTACGTCTATGGGTAGTCCCCATAAAGATAGGTGTTCAAGTGTTTTTGTGTGCATGTGTGTGTGTGTGTGTGTGTGTGTGTGTTTGTGCGTGCATGCTCGTGGCTTGGGGCTCTGGCAGAGAGAAATCTCCTACTCATGGAAGTAGGTCATAGCCTCCTGCTCAGTTAGAAAGGGAGGGATCGGAGTAAAGTGGCAGAGTTGAGCTGCAATGAAGACCGATTAGGGACTCTCTTAAAGTTACGCACAAGGCTTAAAGCGCTTAGATTGAAAAGAAGAGCTGATTTGTAAGATTTTGAAGTATTATGACTGGATAAATTAGGTTATATTGGAGAATATAGACCAGTATTTAGACCACAGAAGAAGAACAGGGTGGGAAATTAGAAGATCCTCACAAAACGATCATTCGTTCTGTTTCTGCAAGTAGTGCAAAATACAACATACTGTAGGCTCATTAGAAAAACGTAGCCCTATATCCGTTTCTGGAGATCACGAATTATGTAGCCAGAGCTATGTATGGCTGCATTTTTGTTAGCTGTTAAAACAAACGCTATGGGATGGTATGATGCCGTTCCTTCTTAGCGCTCACCAGCTTACCCACTTTCCAACTTTCCCACTGTTGCCAGTTTGTCCATTAGCTCGCCATGTACATCTGTGGACTTGAGATGAAGAGTAGAGTTGACTTTGACAATAGGATTCGAGTCCTTTGAAAAATGGTTCCATAAGCTAAAAATAAGCTAAAAAATAAATAAACAAGTAAATAAAAGGGTGAGAATGTGGTAAAATCTGAAAATGTTTTCAGAATTTTTCTGGATTGCTTTTTAAAACACTGAGGTTGGGTTTAGTGCTGCGTTTACACCAGACACAGAGGAAGCATCAAGCGTAAGTGAATTGCATGTTGTCAATGCAAAGATGTATAAAGACATCCTTCAGTGCGATATGCGCGAATGAGGCGGCGTGAATGATTCAGTGCGAGTTGATCGTTTTGTGCAATTGACACTCCTAACGCGTGTTTCGCGCAAATCGCTCGAGTTCAAAAATCTGAACTTTAGAGGACATTCATGATGTGTTAACCAATCAGGAGCTTGCTCTTGTAAGGGCGTGATTATGACATAGCACCTGTTGTTGGTGTCCTCCTGCCGACACCGGCAACAGTTCATCAAACTGGGCTAGGCTCAGTGAAAAGCACAGAGCTGGGTGCACCTGTGAGTAAACTCAAAATGTTCACACGTGTATTTATGTATTTATAATCAGAATCAGAATGAGCCTGGGTTGACAAAATACATGTTTCATAAAATGTTTTTATTTTTGGCTCCAAGAATGCATGTCTAAGTATGACTATTAATGGTAACACTCTAAATTTCATGACTTTTACTCTGCAGATGAAGTCAATCTCTGCCTCTACCTGAGGAAAATAAATGTGGTGGTTTAAAATTTAATCAAAAACAGATTTTGAGATGTACAAAATATTTTCTGCTGCCTGAACTTGCTGTTGTCTTTCAATCCTTAGTAATATAATGTGTCAACAGTGTTTCTGACAGCTATACAATTTTATTGCTGTGGGGTTGTGCTATCATCTGTATCTCTGCTCACAGAATGAAAAAAAAATTATATGAAAAAAAAAACTCAATCGGTAAAATGTGCAGTGATCAGTATTTCATAATAGGTTCTATAGCTTGTGAGTGTTTTAGTGCAGTCTGTATGTCATATTAAAAGGATTTAACCTATTTTTGATACCTTTAATGTAAGGTCCCACTTTTGCTTCTATTTTAAACACACATTATTTCTGACAGCTAAGGGATTTGCTACCATATGAAGGTGAAAGATATTCAGTCATATTAAAGCAATATTGTATGGCTTTGAGGGCTGTGCAAATGTTTGAGAGCTCATTTATACCACTCAAGGAATAAAAAGTAATATTTTAGGACATTAAAGCTACAATTCTAACATAAAACATTGTAATTTGGACATGTCTTTTAATGCAAGAATATTAACTTAATATCTTCTGTCATTTTGTGTGTCATAACCTCTTTTGTCATATTAATTATTTTAAATGTAGCGGAAATGTCTTACATAATTACTTGAGATATAAATAGTTAATAGCCTATAGTAATACAAGTAATGTCTTACAATCCAACCCTTCTCTTGTTGTTAGTAGTATGACATGGGCTTCTCATCATACTGAGTCAATTAAGAGTCAAATTACTGTACGGCGAATTATGAATGAAAGTGTCAAATATTCCTCCTGCTTTAACTTTTTTAATATTATTCCACGGTTTACACCTTTAATCAGAAAAGATGTTAATGTTGTTAAAGTGGTTGAATCATATTTGTGTGTTTTACAGGTTATCTGCCCTGCATCATGCTGCTCTTAATGGAAACGTGGAGCTGATTTCACTGTTGCTCGAGTCACAATCTGTTGTTGACATCAAAGACCAGAAAGGTGAAGGTTTTTTTATGATATGTACATTATTCTCAGAGTACAAATAAATTGATTATCAGCTGTTATTATGCTGCAATATTGACAAAAATTATTTCATTATAGTAAATTGTGGATGATTTTGATGGGGTGATTTACGCTGAAATCTTGGCTGGTGTAGGCCTGTCATATATGAGTAAATAAAACACTGAAACTGCCTGTAGATGGTGCCAGTTCTGCCTTAATGAGCGACTCATTGAATTATTCTTTCAAATGATTAATTCAAAACAGCTTCTTTGTGAGGAAATGAAGCAAAAGACTCTGTATGAATGGATCACTGAATTGTTGACTCAAATGATTCATACAAAAATAGATTCATTCTGGAATGAAGCATTGCAGTGTTCCTCTGAGATCCATGAATATTTAGCTCCGTTTTTTATTGACTACAATTATAACTTTTATTGGAAAAATAGAAAATAAATATAACTAAGTCAAAATAAATGTATTGTTACTCTTGATTGTGGGATATTAATTACATATCATACCAAATACACTTTTGTCAATTGGTGAAGTTTGTTTCTCGCCACTGTCGCCACTGGCTTTCTTCGTTTGGGAGTTGTGGAGCTGCGCATCGATGGATTTGCTCTTCAATGTTTTATAATTTCAGCTGTAAAATTAAACCACACTGAACTGAACTAAACTGAAATTCAACTCTAAAATAACTGGACTGACACAGTTTCAGTTGACTAGAACTATGTGAAGCTGCTTGGACATAATCTACATTGTAAAAGTGCTACAGAAATAAAGATGAATTGAATTGGAAACATTTTTTATAATGTATAATGTACAGTTTATAAAGATTCATACAGTTATTTTTGCTTTCATAACATAAAATAAATCTTCAACAGTCTATTGAACCTGCATTTCAATAGACTTTATAACAGTCAATGATTTTGAAATCACAAGATATTTTTTTTAGAGTGACATACTGTATATTGTGAGAACTTTATGAAAAAAACAATTATGAAATTATCAAAGACAATAATGATATGATATGATATGACTGTATATTATTGTTTTTTGAAAAAATCCTTCTATGAATTTTCTGTCTTTACTAGTCTTTACTGTAGTCTTCAATGTCATGTGAATTTCATTCAGAAAATCAGAAACCTCTGCTTGGGAAACATTCTTATGATTATCAGTGTTGAAATGTTGAGAACATTATGAAGCCTAATATTTTTTTCAGGATTCTTTGATAAATAAATAGTAATACGACAACAGCGAAAACAACATTTGTTTTTTTTATAAATGCTACTTTTAATCAATTTCAATCCATAATTTCAGAACAAAAGTATCTTAAAAAAAATAAAAATAATAATAATATATATATATATATATATATATATATATATATATATATATATATATATATATATATATATATATATATATATATATATATATATATATTTATATATATATATATATATTTATATATTATTATTTTTTTTTTTCTTGTCGGCTTAGACCCTTTATCAATCCGGGGTCGCCACAGCGGAATGAACCGCCAACCTACTGCGCCACTGCCTTGCCCACAAAAAAAAAAATATATATATATATATATATATAATTAACTAATTAATTACTCTAAACTGCCTTAGTTAACCTAATTAACCTAGTTAAGCATTTAAATGTCACTTTATCTAGTGCCGTCCCCTCTGCCGTCTATATCTAGTAAAATATTATTTACTATCATCATGGCAAAGATAAAATAAATCATTTATTAGAAATGAGTTATTAAACCTATTATGTTTAGAAATGTGTTGAAAAAAAATCTTCTCTCCTTTAAACAGAAATTGGGGAGGAAATAAACAGGGGGTCTATTAATTCAGGGGGGCTAATAATTCTGACTTCAACTTTAATATTAAAACTCTGCCTCTTCTCTCTTTCTGAAGGGATGCGACCCTTACATTATGCTGCTTGGCAGGGTAAGTGCGAGCCGATGAAAATGCTTCTCAAGGCGGGGTCATCAGTCAACAGCCAATCAGATGAGGGACAGATTCCTTTACACCTCTCATCACAGCACGGACATTATGAAGGAGTAAGTACATGCATGTAAACAAAACAATTCTAGAGTTGGAGACACATTTTACCTTTATTAATAAATAATTTCTAGTATGTTTTAACTGATAAACCCATGAAGCATTGCAGTTTAGGGGCCCTATGTGCATGTTTTTTCTTGATGTGCCCTTAGTGGTACATTTTTTTTTCTTAACTCAAAAATAATTAAAATGTATTTTAAATGTGGGTCAAGATAGGCCAAACGTATCTGGCCCACATATCAGTTTATAACATCTGGGCTGCCCTAAAGATGGTGCCATCTCTGGACCATGTTTGGTCCTCATGCTGTACAGATTCTTGTAGCAAATTCTTTGCTACCTGAGATGTCATTAAACAAACTTGTGTCCTCATAAACCACTAAAACCAGTACACACAAACACAAACGCATGACAGCTGTACTGTACTGTGTGTTTACAGAGTGAGATGCTGCTTCAACATCAGTCGAACCCCTGCCTCAGAGACCACGCTGGGAAAACTCCTCTAGACTTGGCCTGTGAATTTGGACGAGTCACGGTCAGTTACGCTGTGTTTGTGTGTGTCTGTCTGCATGTTCACAGGGGTTTGTGATAGATGGATGAGGAGCACTGCACCCCTGTGGGATTCTGGGAACTACACCTCTTCTCACGTCCTCAGCCAAATGCAGAAAGCCCCACATTCAGGCACATTCACGCTTTCCAAACGAGCACAACAGATTCTTTCAGAGCTCTTTATGCTGACCTGGGTTTTGTTAAAGGGATAGCTCATGGATAATTAGTCTTTTGTTATTATTTACCCACTGCCATGTCAGTCCAAACCGTCTACTGTATGATGTATTCAGTAGATACTATCACAGTTTTTAATATTCAGTTGACTTAAATTTATTTAAATATTTTTGTTTATTTATTTATTTTTGTTAATTTAATTTAATTTAATTTAATTTTAAATTAAATTTACTTAATTTAATTTAATTTAATTTAATTTAATTTAATTTAATTTAATTTAATTTAATTTAATTTAATTTAATTTAATTTAATTTAATTTAATTTAATTTAATTTAATTTAATTTAATTTAATTTAGGCGAATCATTCCGCTATGGCGACCCCAGATTAATAAAGGGACTAAGCTGACAAGAAATTGAATGAATGAATGAATGAATGAATTTTATTTATTTTATTTTATTTTATTTTATTTTATTTTATTATTAATTTATTTTTTATTATTTGTGCTCATTAGTCCCTGGATTTGACCATTAATTTTTAAAAGTAAAAATCTACAATCTTAATGTGATATAATAAGTCTTTTTAACCAAATCTAAGATAAACCAACATTACTCTGTCAACATTTTATTAGCTGGTATTTGTACAGTGTATTTACTTTATTCTGAATATTTTCCATAAATGTTATTGTTTTTATTATTATTATTATTATTATTATTATTATTATTATCATAATTTTTGGTAATTTAGCAAAAGCTTTACCACATAAATATTTTATATAATTATAATAAAAATAAATAATTTACTCTGAAGTTTTAGTCAATTTAAAGGGGTCAAATGATATTGTTGCAAATAATGTTATGTTTTGCATTTGTAGTGATAGAATGTTAATGCAGTGTGCTTTTGCTTCCTCTCAAAAAGTTATACTATACATCAAGCTGAAATACTTTACTCTGTTGTACTTTGCTCAGCTGAAACTTTACAAAAGCATCCTGGTGACACCTTAGACTTTTTTTAAAGCATGATCAGATCCCTTTATAAAAGCAAAATTACATGATGTATTCTAAAGTTGCAGTAAGCGATGTTCAGTTTCACTAACTTTCTGACAGACTCAGATATTGAAGTAGATCACTCCCTTTCTCCAAAATATCTCGCTCCACAAACATGTCAGCAAAGCTGATGTCAGCTTAGCGTAACGCTCAGAGTGACTGACAGCAGCAAACACCTCAAAGTCTTCTGGCTGAACAACAGTGATCAAATACCTTTTGCTGTTTGGTTTAAAGCCATACAGGGACAGGTGTGATGTGTCATAATACTTTTTTCAGTTTGAATTATCAGGCCGTGTGGAGGGGTGATATGGACTTAAAACTACATTACAATATTTTCCAGTATTATTGTGATTAGGGCTGCGCAATATATTGTTTCAGTGCTGATATCGCATTGTGCGCATATCCAATAGTCGCATCGCAAGATATGCAGTGTTGAGTCTGAATAATAGTTGACCAGGAACCACAGAACAAGCAATTTGTAGGGTCAAGTTTAACCATAATAGAGTGAAAGTTTATAATTAATTTTTTTAACATTTTTTGACTGAGCATTTTAAAAGAGATTAAAACATTTGGACACATACAATTATGATGTTTAAAGGTGTAACAGAGATTGATTGCATTTAATTATTTATACGGAATCATTGGAGTTTTTGTCTAGTTTTTGTTTAGTCCAAATATCTACATTTCAAAGCAAAAGCAAGCTTATTTAATTTCCTTCACTGGCAGGTAATTTAGCTTGTTTAAAGGAAAAACTCAAAATTTGGACTTAAGGTAAAAACAAAACGATATATTTGACTTGATCTAAAAATTTTAAATATCTTAACTTGAAACGAGACAAAGCAAGGTAAGAGCATTTTTCTGCATTGTGATTATTCAATTTCTGTACCTGTCAGACTACAGTTGTCACCATTTGAGGAGGATAGTCTTCCAACAAAATTGTCCTAAACTATCGAACAACACCCATTTTTATCTTAAACTTTTTTCGATCCACTTCAAATGTTGACGACTGTATTTCAACAGAAAGGGCCCTATGTTGACGATCCATGTGCAAAGCGCAGGGCGCAAACACATTAGGGGCGTGACAGAATTCACTTTTGCTAATTTAAGGAGGAAAAAAAATCACTTTGCGCCGTGGCGCATGGTCTAACAGGGTTGAGCTTATCTCTTAATGAGTTATAGGTGTGTTTTGAGAATAAACCAGAGTCTCATCTCCCATTCCCTTTAAGAGCCAGTTGCGTCGCGCCATAGCACATACATATTTACATGACGGACTTTGTAAGTGGAAAAACTGAGCATTTCAGTTGCAAGAAAACAGTTAAACAGAGCATCTACAGCATGAGAATGAGAGAATTAGCCTCCTCATTATTTACTTTCACTTTCACTCTCGTGGATAGGGAAATGTGTTTTACGCACAGACATCTATTAGCCTACACATAATTAATTATGTTTGTTTAGTGCAAAGATTAGTTTAAAAACTATTTCTAAATTCAGTTCTAATTTCCAGTAAACTAATAAATGAACAATAATAATGAAGTGTGGTCAAAAAACTGAGTTATTTCCAAAAACACATGATGTGCCCCATATGGTCAAAAACTTGACAGGTGGGCAAAGCTTGTTTTTAATATAAATACATATAAATATAAATAATATAAATACATATAAATACATATTTAATATAAACAAATATAAATATGCATATAATAAATAATACAGCTAATCATAATAACATTATACAAAAGCAAATTGTTATGAATAAACTGAAAAAACCTACATCCTGTCTGTATTAAGCAATGTGTAAGCAAAGCGCACGACTAACGCTCTCTGCGCTGGACAATAGACCGGCTTTGTTCTGGTCTATTGAACAATCTAATTTTGTTTCTCAAAATAGCGACACGCCAGCAATGCACTTCAGCATGCCTCCTTTTTTAGATCAGAACTCCTATGGGCGCACATTTGAGCGCAAATGCATTTGCTATTTAAACCGCGTGGCGCAAAACGTAAAGACGACTCTTGCGCCGAGCTGAAACTAGCAAAAAACTATTGCATCGTGCCTTGTACCACATTGCGCCGGTTGTATGATAGGGCCCAAAATTTCAAATCGAGCTATTCAAACCATCTTTTAAAACTGTATTCATTTTGCAATATTTATTGCAGAAAAATCAAATATTCCATTATCAGAATTTTTTAATATCGTGCTGCCCTAATTGCGATAACAATATTAATGACAATCATACAGTACATATCCACTGAGAGACAAGGAATATTAATTTTCATATTTTTTATCTTTATAAACACACTAAAGCAGCTAATCAAGTTTTTCCAGGATCATATAAAATACAAAAGCAGGTTGGAAAGAAACTACAGGAAATATATGTATCCTTAGTCATAACTTATCATATTATAACATAACTTATCCTTAGTCAAAATGGCCGGTATTTGGTTCTATTGCATTTTCAGAGCCTAATTTGTAGTATAATATATTAAAATAGCAGAAATGAAATGTGTGTAAGGTGTGTTTGAATGCTTGCATGTGTGTTTCCGTGTGTTCTACAGGTGGTCCAGTTGCTCCTGAACAGTAACATGTGTGCTGCTATGTTAGAGCCAAAGCCGTCCGACCCCAATGGCATCAGCCCGCTGCATTTGGCTGCTAAGAATGGACATATTGAGATCATCAAGTAGGTGCTCAACGGACTTCCTACTGCTGTTATGAAGACTCTGTTCCTGATCGCACAGAAGGCCCCTACTGGCCCATATCCATCAGCTGATAAACAATAAAGAGAGAACATATATTTAAAATGTTCGTTACATTTTAAGTTTGCAGTAGTGTTTTTACTGTATTCTAGCCTTTTTGACAATGAGACTGAGTTTAAAAAAAAAACATTAGAAAAACCTTTGTAATAGTAGTTGATGTGTATTTAAACTGTTATAACTGAAGTTATTTACAAGACATTTCACCAGTTTTATTATTGCTTTGAATTAGCAGTCATCAATTCGGTGTAAGGGGACAGACATTGACGGCGTGAAAGCCTGACACAGCATTTAGCTCACTGACACAAAACTGTCTCTGTTGCATGACTGATGTGCCAAGACAGGTCAGGAGCAAAGAGATCGGGGATGATGGGAGAAACGAAAGACACTGTCCGATCAGTCCCTGGAGGCTTCATTCATTACATTCACACACACACATAGACACACACACACGCGCACACATTCAAACAGCGTGTCCTCGTTTTTCCCTTTGATGGACAGTGCCGTCACTGCCTGCTGACGCACAACGTTAATTAGTGATTTCATCGCTCATCACACACTTTAGGTTGCTTGTGGATCACTATGAATGTGTGTTTGGTTAGACGGGTGTGAAGGACACTCTTTAGATGCTCAATTTTAAAATCAGGGCTTCTCATCAAGCAAACGAGCACAATCTGACCTGTAAATAACCTTTATAAGGCTTTTTAAGGGATTGATTTTTTAGCTAAATCGCTGCACTGTTTCTTCCAAACAGCTCTCAAATCTGGACTGATCGAGTGCTTCTCTTGGCTGCAGTTCAGCTGCTTTAGTTCTAAATGCAATGTAGATTTCAGCACATGCATATGGTACTGTATTTGTTCATCCAGATAGACAAATATTCAAATCATGATCTATGTAAATTACTGTAATCATCAGTGATTTCCATTTTTATTTTAGTCTGTTTCTTTTTTATTTTTAGATTGATTTGAAGTTTTATATACATAATTAAAGTTAAATATAGCAAGGAAAATAAGTATTGAACACATCACCATTTTTCTCAGAGAACTAAAAAGCGTTCTAAAGCGTTGATTTGAAAATTTCCCTGGATGTTGGTCACAACCTAAGAAATGCATAAAGTAAATGCAAAGAAAACACATACAGTATAATTAGTTTACAAATTAATTTATGCTTTTAAAAAGAATGAAATGGCGATGGGAAAAAGTATTGAACACATAAAGAAAGGGAGGTGTAGAAAGGCAGTGAAAGCCCAGAGAGCAGCAGAAATCTTTCAGTAGTTATTCAGAAACCTTCTGCTCTTCATCATTGTAAATTAATATTCGCTGCTTCTGTCCAACATCTACATTAGCAGGATGATGAAAATTAAACCATGGTGAACGTTTTAGCAAGACAATGATCCAAAACAGCCAAGGACACTCTCAAATGCTTTCAGAGAAAGTAAATCAAGCTGTAAAATGGCCCAGCCAATTACCTGACTTGAATCCAATAGAAAATACAAAATAAAAAGAAACAAATTTAAAGGGGGCTAATAATTCTGACTTCAACTGTATGTATATATTATAGGAAATACAGTGAAATTGTCTTTGATCTGTTAATCAGCACCAAGGAAATATTCAAAACAGAACTAAAGTTTGGACTTTCTATTTGTTTCTAATTGTTCCCTATAAAAGAAGTGGTTAGAAGTCTGGAGAAATCTATAATTTTTTCTAAAGTCTACCACATACTGTAAAAAACATAGTGGCAGTGTTTGTGCTTTTTGAAATAATATTGTAAAAGAGAACATTTATTGGGTTTAAACTGAAAAACATACTGGCTTTAATAATGTATGTTTGTGTGTGTTCAGGTTACTAATCCAGGCTGGTATAGATATAAACCGACAGACGAAATCAGGCACTGCGCTGCATGAAGCTGCGCTCTGTGGGAAAACTGAGGCTGTTCGACTGCTGCTGGATGTGAGTAATTCATCTGAATGCATACAGAACATGAAAAAAGGTGAATTTTATTGTGTGGTGTGAAAAATAATCCTTTTTCATGTCAAAAGCAAACATTCATGCATAAATATATTTCTTTTTAAATATACCTTGAAGATTTTTTCTTTGTTTTTTTTCACTGATTTAAAATTTATATCTGTAATTTTGTAAAATGTTATTGCAATTTAAAGTAATGTTATTTTTTTCTGTTAGCAAAGCTGAATTTTCAGCACTATTACTCTAGTTTCTGCCATTTTTAGGATTTTGTTTTTGTTATAAAAGTTAAAAAGCATAATTTATTCAAACAGAATGTTATAATATAGTTGCTTAAATTAATTTTATTTTTCATGCAACGAGTCACCATTTCTGTTAGAACTTTCTTATGATCAATTTTGAATAGTTTATTTATTTATTTATTTATTAAGATTATATTATCATTAACTCAACCTCGACTTGTTCCAAACTAGTTTGAGTTTTTTTTCTGTTGAACACAAAAGAAGATGTTTTGAAAATGCTGGAAACCTGTAACCATACCATACCATAGTAGGGAAAACACATACATTTTGGGTGAACTATCCCTTTAAGGCATATGAACCTTACAGGTAGGGCCGGAGTGGGACTCCTTTTCAGCCCTGGAGTTTCAAGCCTCAGACTGGCCCACTTCAGTTCACGACTGACTATATTAAAATAAGGACATTTCCAATTCAGTTTCTAATTACACTATCACGTCTTTTTTTGAGAAAACAGCTGCTTTAGAACTTCAAATGTTCAACAACCCTAACAGTATTATGTCTTAACAATAAAAAAAAAAAAAAAAAAAATCACTCAGATGAGGATCAAACCCAGGTCAGCAGCGTCATAACCTAATGTGCAAAGCACTGGACCACAACAGCTATGAGTTGTGAGGTGGCCCGTCTGAGTTATATCATCATTAACCTGCAGGCTAATGATGACATAAAAAAAAAACATATATAAAAAGAGCAGAGCTGTGGTAAAATAATGAATAAGAAGACTGTGGTCAAGTAAAAAAAAAATTATTTAAAAAGTGTGACTGCTGAGAGCAACAGATTCTGGAGCTAGGGACACCGGCCCTCGCGGCCAAAAAACGGACCGGCCCACCGGGAATTCTCCCGGTCCTCCCGATTAGCCAATCCGGGCCTGCTTACAGGGGACCTATTTTGCAAAAAAATCTTTTATAAGAGGTTTAAACACAGTTGTGTAGCAACAGTCATACATATCATGTTAATATAACCAGCTTCATAAGTAAAAAACTATTATTTTATTTTTATTTAGTGTCTGCAGAAACACTTTGTTTGATATTCTCCCTTTGTACGTCATCAAAGGGGGAAAGCCTCGCCCACTAGTGACAATCTCTCCCTCATTAGTGTAGGACTTTAGTCTTGTTTTTGAATCTGCCACTATGCTGACTCACAGGCAGTTGCAGGTCCAACTCTTTTTTTTAAAAGAGCCCAATCTCATTTGAATTTAAAGCGGCAGTCACCAATATTTTCAAAGAGTGATAAATCATTATTTGTGGAGTATTTTGAGCTGCAACGTCATACACACACTCTACTGACACCAGAGACATTTTTACAACTTGTATAAAGGAGCATAACAGGTCCTCTTTATTGATTTAAGATTCAAGAGTATACAATTTAATCCAAACTATTAATACAAACTACAATATTTTTTCCACAAAAATAAAAAATAAAAAGAGGGATATTATGTTGTTGTCTAGTGTATTTGATTTAGGCAAAGCTTTATTTGTGTTTATGGGCTTGCTGGTGTTTATGTTCATATCTGTAAGTGAGGGAACTTTATGTGATGTTTATATAGACAGTGTAACCTCTATGTACTGTATGATGTGAATGTGTGATGTGACTTCTCTCCTCAGAGTGGTATCAGTGCAGGAGTGAGGAACACATATTGTCAGACAGCGCTGGATATTGTTAACCAGTTCACCACTACTCAAGCCAGCAAGGAAATCAAACAGATGCTGAGAGGTACAGTATAGGAGACGTTTATAAAAACACAGATTCACATAAAAATGTCAGAGGCTTTGTGAGCTTGTTGTTTTCTCTGTTTGTTCCTGCATACAGACGCATCGGCTGCCATGCAAGTGAGGGCTCTGAAAGATTACTGCAACAACTATGACCTTACAAGCCTCAACATTAAAGCAGGCGACATCATTACGGTAAAAAAACAATTCTTTCAGAGTATTAATTCTTTAATTTTCCTTCCACTTAGTCTCTATTTCAGAAGTCGCCACAGCAGAAGAAACCACCAATTATTCTAGCATTTTTTTAATGCAGCGGATACCCTTCCAGCCACAACCCAGTATTGGGAAACACCCATACACACTCATTCTTACACTACAGACAATTTAGTTTCTCCAATTCACCTATAGCCTATATAGCCACCTATGTCTTTGGACTGTAGGGGAAACCTGAGCACCCGGAGGAAACCCACATCAACACAGGGAGAACATGCAAACTACACACAGAAATGCCAAATGGCCCAACTGGGACACAAATCAGCGGCCTGGTTGCTGTGAGGCAACAGTGCTAACCACTGAGCCACTGTGCTGGCTCTATTTTATAGTAATAATTAGATTTTTTGAAGCTTAACTAAGTCTTAAAGTGATAATTTACCTAAAAATGAAAATGTACTCACCTCTCAAGTGGTTCCAAACTTTTCGGATATTTTAAAGAATGTTGGAAACTGGTAGCCACTGACATCCATAGTAGGAAAGGCAAATAATATGGAAGTCAATAGTTGTTTCCAAGCATTTTTCTAAATATCTTTTTTTGTGTTCAACAGAAGAAAGAAACTCAACAGGTTTTTAACAAGGGAAGGATGTGTATATGGTGACAGGATTTTAATTTTTTAGTAAACTATCCCTTTAAATCCAAAGATGTCTTGCAACAGGTTTAGACTTTAAAGTGTACTTGTGGACAACATGGCACCAAAATGATCAAAATACACACATTTAGGGGCACAAATGCACCTGCACAATTAAACTGAACTGTTAATACAGATGTTATAAATAAAATCAAATCTAAAAATAAATAAGATATATGGCTGGGCATGTTGACCTTTAATTTTCATTTGATTTCATTTTCCTTCGGCTTTGTCCCTCTATTCATCAGGGGTCACCACAGCGGAATGCAGGGGTGCTGCTAGGAGGGGAAAGTTAGGAAGATTCCAAGGGCCCATGCCCTTTTTGGGGGCCCACAGAGATCAAAGATACTATTAGATCTTCAATTTAGCCTGTGATAACCCCCCTCTAATATTAACTTTCAGGCGCAACACCCCAACAACCACCCCTAACCTTTGCTCCCCACTTTTCTCTCCTTACTTTCGTTCTGTCATCCCCCCAATCCCACCACACCCCCACCTCCCGATCTTAACTTTCTTACAATGAACATGCAAACCCCACCTTTAATTTCTATTTATTTATTTATTTAATTTTTTTTATTATTGTCCAGCACTAAGTCTTATAACTAATCAAGCATTTCTATTTTGCTTATGTATACTCAAAGAAATAATAATAATAATAAAAAAAATATATATATACATATATATATATATATATATATATATATATATATATATATATATATATATATATTTATTTATTTATTTTTTACTTGTTCAAACTACTTATTTAAAACTAGCTGAAACAACACAATTATTGAGATTTCATTGGGACAACTTACTTTTTTATGTTCAATCCACATAATTTTGTTAAAAGTGCTAACTTAATCGATTTGTGTACAGACAACATGGATAAATTGTATGCAGTATGCAGATACAGTGTATGCAATGACCAATAAAAGATGTTTTTGAAAAATCATGTGACAGTGAGGACTGAAGTAACATCTTTAAAAACAAAGATTAGAAACAAATGTAAATTTAATATATGTTAAATTAGAACATTGTGGTAGTATTTCAGAATTAGTCCATAATAATAATGTATAAACTAGGCAAACTATTAATGAATAAAATCTTAAATAGTGTTTAAAGTGTTGCATTTATTTTAAAGAAACAAAAACACAGAAATAATAATTTGTTATTATTGTTATAATTGAAATAGTAAAATAAAATGTATAGATTATAAGAGCATAGTTTATAATGCAGGGCAACACTATGGCTCAGTGGTAAGCACTGTTGCCTCACAGCAAGAAGGATGCTGGTTCAAGTCCCAGCTGCATCATTTGGCATTTCTGTGTGTAGTTTGCAAGTGACCAGAAAGTCCAGAAAGATAATTATGATATTGAATTACATTTATTGATGAATATTATTTGTATTATTATTTATATTTATCATTTATCATTTGACAAAACATAGAATTTCTTTGGCGGAGGCCCCATCAGTAGCTTGGTTTGAAAGCTTTTAGATCCAGCTATGACTGCCAAGGATGAAGGCAGGGGCGGAGCCCTCCCCCATTGGACAGGGCCAACCTGGTGGTGGTGGGGAGGATGGTGGGTGAACGTCTGCGTCGGTACCTGCAACCAAATTAATTAAATGAATGGACAGCTTATATATTCCTTGTGTCTCGTGGCTATTAGTTAAAATTGATTGTGATGAGTGACGTGACATTAGGTCTTCCTGGTAGAACCACTGCTAAAAGCTACATTTCTCCCCATGTTCGTGTGGATTTTCTCCAAGTGGTCCGGTTTCCCCCACAGTCCAAAGACATGCGCTGTAGGGGAATTGAATAAACTAAATTATCTGTAGTGTATGAATGTGAATGAGTGTGTATGGATGTTTTCCAGTACTAGGTTGCAGCTGGAAGGGCATTTGTTGCATAAAACAAGCTGGATAAGTTGATGGTTCATTCTGCTGTGGCAACCCCTGATGAATGCTGAGCTGAAGGAAAATTAATGAATGAATGAGTTTTTGATGCAAGTGCTAAAAAAATAACTGCCATTGAATTAAATCTTATTATAAAGTGTTAAATTATTAAATATTAATTAAATAATTATCAATTTATCAAATGGTACAATGTATGCATGCATTTTGGTTGATTCTTGCTGCATTCTACAACAGTTCTGTGTGACCTTCAGGTCTTGGAGCAGCATTCAGACGGGCGATGGAAAGGCTGCATTCATGACAACCGTACAGGAAATGACAGAGTGGGTTACTTCCCGTCCAACATGGTAGAAGTCATCAAAAGGGCAGGTGTGGTACTGCATCATCACATGAGCCTCCTAGGATGTCATGTGACACATATGCACATTTTAATACACTCTGCATCAAAGTCAGTCTGAAGCTCATCTGGCTGGCACTTCAGTAAATCTTCATGTGTGTGTGATCGGGTGAGTTTGTATTTAGTGCATGCATTTCTGCATACATACAGAATGAGTGTTTGTGTATTTGTGTGTTGTGTGTGTGAGTTAAGGATGGGCATTTTATTAATTTAAGCCTAGGTCACACTACGTGACTTTAAACATCAACAGATCGCTGTGCTGTTCATACTACATGACTTGATTTTGTGTCTTTAAATCACTGTGGTGTTCACATTACGTGACACTACTTAAATGATTTAATTACCATAGTGGTCAAAATGACTACATGCATTTCTGCTACTTTTTTGCATGTCTTTTTTGCCCAGAAACTTCCTGCTAGCATAAACAAAAACTTTCTGATAACAAAAACATAAATTTATTTCGGCTTTGTCTTTCAAAAGAGCATATTCTGTGTCGCGAAATAGCTCCTGTTTATTAAAGTGAAAATGAAAGCGAAGCCCAGACCTTTTCTAGAAGCTTTACTTGCTTGACTAGGCTGTATTACCAACAAGATCATATTTTTAGTGTAAACGCAGATTGAAGCGAGTGCATCGATGCCCATTTTGGCCCATCACAGACATGCTGATATGCTCTCTCATTGGCTGCACCTAGTCACTACATCTGACCACACATGGGGTCAAGTTGGCCGACTGGTTTGGAATATTTAGCATGCTAGATATTGGATTTCCATCTGCGAGGTGACAGCGACGCGTCAGCGAGCCTCTTTGATGCATTTTTCAGTAGTTCACATATAAAGAATGGAGAGCGCCAAGAACCCCTGATTTTTTCCCCATGCAGCTTGATCTGTCAGCAAACTTGTTAACTTTCAAATCTATCAAATCTCCAATCTGGCTTAAAATCCTGTAGTGTGAACTAGGCTTTTCATGCATTTAATAGATAAATTGACGAAGTATTAAATTACGTTGACGTCACTACTATTATCAGAACAAAATTGTAAATTTAATATAGCTGCAAGCAGCAATAAGGAATCCATAGGCAGAATGAGCAAAACAGTCCAGAGGCAGAATGAGCAAAACAGTCCAGAGGCAGAATGAGCAAAGCAGTCCAGAGGCAGAATGAGCAAAGCAGTCCAGAGGCAGAATGAGCAAAGCAGTCTAGAGGCAGAATAAGCAAAGCAGTCTAGAGGCAGAATGAGCAAAGCAGTCTAGAGGCAGAATGAGCAAAACAGTCCAGAGGCAGAATGAGCAAAGCAGTCCAGAGGCAGAATGAGCAAAGCAGTCCAGAGGCAGAATGAGCAAAGCAGTCCAGAGGCAGAATGAGCAAAGCAGTCTAGAGGCAGAATGAGCAAAGCAGTCTAGAGGCAGGATGAACAAAGCAGTCTAGAGGCAGGATGAGCAAAGCAGTCTAGAGGCAGGATGAGCAAAGCAGTCTAGAGGCAGGATGAGCAAAGCAGTCTAGAGGCAGGATGAACAAAGCAGTCTAGAGGCAGGATGAGCAAAGCAGTCTAGAGGCAGAATGAGCAAAGCAGTCTAGAGGCAGAATGAGCAAAGCAGTCTAGAGGCAGAATGAACAAAACAGTCCAGAGGCAGAATGAGCAAAACAGTCCAGAGGCAGAATGAGTAAAGCAGTCCAGAGGCAGAATGAGCAAAACAGTCCAGAGGCAGGATGAGCAAAGCAGTCTAGAGGCAGAGTAAGCAAAGCAGTCTAGAGGCAGAATGAGCAAAGCAGTCTAGAGGCAGGATGAACAAAGCAGTCTAGAGGCAGGATGAGCAAAGCAGTCTAGAGGCAGAATGAGCAAAGCAGTCTAGAGGCAGAATGAGCAAAACAGTCCAGAGGCAGAATGAGCAAAGCAGTCCAGAGGCAGAATGAGCAAAGCAGTCCAGAGGCAGAATGAGCAAAGCAGTCCAGAGGCAGAATGAGCAAAGCAGTCCAGAGGCAGAATAAGCAAAGCAGTCCAGAGGCAGAATGAGCAAAGCAGTCTAGAGGCAGAATAAGCAAAGCAGTCCAGAGGCAGAATAAGCAAAGCAGTCCAGAGGCAGAATGAGCAAAGCAGTCCAGAGGCAGAATGAGCAAAGCAGTCCAGAGGCAGAATAAGCAAAGCAGTCCAGAGGCAGAATGAGCAAAGCAGTCTAGAGGCAGAATGAGCAAAGCAGTCTAGAGGCAGAATAAGCAAAGCAGTCTAGAGGCAGAATAAGCAAAGCAGTCTAGAGGCAGAATGAACAAAGCAGTCTAGAGGCAGGATGAACAAAGCAGTCTAGAGGCAGGATGAACAAAGCAGTCTAGAGGCAGGATGAACAAAGCAGTCTAGAGGCAGAATGAGCAAAGCAGTCTAGAGGCAGGATGAACAAAGCAGTCTAGAGGCAGGATGAACAAAGCAGTCTAGAGGCAGAATGAGCAAAGCAGTCTAGAGGCAGAATGAGCAAAGCAGTCTAGAGGCAGAGTAAGCAAAGCAGTCTAGAGGCAGAATGAGCAAAGCAGTCTAGAGGCAGAATGAACAAAACAGTCCAGAGGCAGAATGAGCAAAACAGTCTAGAGGCAGAGTAAGCAAAGCAGTCTAGAGGCAGAATGAGCAAAGCAGTCTAGAGGCAGGATGAACAAAGCAGTCTAGAGGCAGGATGAGCAAAGCAGTCTAGAGGCAGAATGAGCAAAACAGTCCAGAGGCAGAATGAGCAAAGCAGTCCAGAGGCAGAATGAGCAAAGCAGTCCAGAGGCAGAATGAGCAAAGCAGTCCAGAGGCAGAATGAGCAAAGCAGTCCAGAGGCAGAATAAGCAAAGCAGTCCAGAGGCAGAATGAGCAAAGCAGTCCAGAGGCAGAATGAGCAAAGCAGTCCAGAGGCAGAATAAGCAAAGCAGTCTAGAGGCAGAATGAGCAAAGCAGTCCAGAGGCAGAATAAGCAAAGCAGTCCAGAGGCAGAATGAGCAAAGCAGTCTAGAGGCAGAATGAGCAAAGCAGTCTAGAGGCAGAATGAGCAAAGCAGTCTAGAGGCAGGATGAACAAAGCAGTCTAGAGGCAGGATGAACAAAGCAGTCTAGAGGCAGGATGAGCAAAGCAGTCTAGAGGCAGGATGAGCAAAGCAGTCTAGAGGCAGGATGAACAAAGCAGTCTAGAGGCAGAATGAGCAAAGCAGTCTAGAGGCAGAATGAGCAAAGCAGTCTAGAGGCAGAATGAGCAAAGCAGTCTAGAGGCAGGATGAGCAAAGCAGTCTAGAGGCAGGATGAGCAAAGCAGTCTAGAGGCAGGATGAACAAAGCAGTCTAGAGGCAGGATGAGCAAAGCAGTCTAGAGGCAGAATGAGCAAAGCAGTCTAGAGGCAGAATGAGCAAAGCAGTCTAGAGGCAGAGTAAGCAAAGCAGTCTAGAGGCAGAATGAGCAAAGCAGTCTAGAGGCAGAATGAGCAAAGCAGTCTAGAGGCAGGATGAGCAAAGCAGTCTAGAGGCAGGATGAGCAAAGCAGTCTAGAGGCAGAATGAGCAAAGCAGTCCAGAGGCAGAATGAGCAAAGCAGTCTAGAGGCAGAATGAGCAAAGCAGTCTAGAGGCAGAATGAGCAAAGCAGTCTAGAGGCAGAGTAAGCAAAGCAGTCTAGAGGCAGAATGAACAAAGCAGTCTAGAGGCAGAATGAGCAAAGCAGTCCAGAGGCAGAATGAACAAAGCAGTCCAGAGGCAGAATGAACAAAGCAGTCTAGAGGCAGAATGAGCAAAGCAGTCTAGAGGCAGAATAAGCAAAGCAGTCTAGAGGCAGAATGAGCAAAGCAGTCTAGAGGCAGGATGAGCAAAGCAGTCTAGAGGCAGAATAAGCAAAGCAGTCTAGAGGCAGAATAAGCAAAGCAGTCTACATCCACATCCTAGCAAGCAACTACATAGCAACAAACTAAAACTGCCCTGCACAACCAGCAACTGCATAGCAATACACCACAAACATCCAGTAACACCTTGGCAACTGCAAAGCAACAAAATAAAAGCTAACAAAAACATTCTTGCAACTGCACCAAAATCTATAACAAACAACCTACTGTAGCAACTGCAGAGAAACACGCTGAATTCTGCCCAGGACAACCTAACAACTGCATAGCAACACAACACACAATTACTATCAAGATTAAAAAACCTTCCAGAACACCCTAGCAACCTTGTGTCATAAACAATTATTCGTTGTATTGTTGTAAACAAAGTGAATTTGTGTATTTTCATGATTGTTTAATGCTGTCTTGTTGGAGTATTTAAATACATGAGAACACATGAATGCCCATTCTATCTTTGTGTGTGTGCGTGTGTTTGTGTGTTCATTCACTCTGTATCCAACTGTCCTGCCCTGTATCACCAGTCAAGTGATTGTAATTAGAGGCGTCAGCTGGAGGAGATGAAAGAGAGAGAGAGAGTGGAGAAGAGGGCAGAGGAGAGCGGCTCATCTCTCTGTCACTGTTCAGTCGTCTTTGCGTCCACCTGTACCATCCTTTCCATCCCCCTCTTTATTTTCCTTCAGCCCACATCAGAAACTCGCACTTCTGCAGTCACACACACACATGCAGACAGGCTTTCACACATTCATATACACACACATCAGTGGCAAACACGGCTTCTTAAAGTCGGCATGAAAACAAAACTGACTCTTTTTATTTTTATGTGTGTATTGCAGTGCTTGATAGTAGCAAATGATGTCTGTGTGCACTTCATTAGTTTAATTGATTTTTTCTTCTCATTGGGGCGGGGGTAACAATGCATTTATGGCAGTGTTATCAGTCCTTTAGGGTGGGGTTATCAGGGCATTTAAGGCAGGGCTATCAGTGCCTTTAGTGCAAGGCTACCAGTCCATTAGGGTGGGGCTATAAGTGGATTTAAGGCGGGGTTATCAGTCCTTTAAGGCGGTGCTTTCAGTGCATGTAAGGCAGGTTATCAGTCCTTAAGGGCAGGGTTATCAGTGCATTTAAGATGGGGTAATCAGTCCTTTCAGGCAAGGTTATTAGTTGTCTAGGGCTGTGCTATCACTGCATTTAAGGTGGTGTAATCAGTCCTTTAGGGCGAGACTATTAGTCTTTTAGGGTTGGGCTATTAGTGCATTTAAGGTGGGGTTATTAGTGCATTTATGGCAGGGCAATCAGTGCATTTAGGGCGGCGCTACCAGTGTATTTAAGGAGGGGTTATCAGTCAATTAGGGCGGAGCTATCAGTGCATTTAGGGTGGGGTTTTCAGTCATTTAGGGCATAGCTATCAGTGCATTTAAGCCAGGGTTATCAGTCCTTTAGGGAAGTGCCATTAGTGCATTTAAAGAGTGGGGGCATCAGTGCACTTAAGGCAAGGTTATCAGTCCTTTAGGGCGGGGCTATCAGTGCATTTAAGGCAGGGTTACAAGTCCTTTTTAGGCGGGGCTATCAGTGGATTTAGGGCGAGGTTATCAGTCCTATAGGGCAGGTCTATCAGTGCATTTAAGGCAGGGTTATCAGTCCTTTAGGGCAAGGCTATCAGTCTTTCAGGGTAGGGCGATCAGTGCACTTAAGGCGGCGTTATCAGTCTTTAAGGGCGGTGCTATCAGTGCATTTAAGACAGGGTTACCAGTCCTATAGGGTGGAGCTATCAGTGTATTTAAGGCGGGGTTTTCAATCCTTTAGGGCGGGATTATCAGTGCATCTAGGGCAGGGCTATCAGGGCCTTTAGGGAGGAGCTATCAGTCCTTTTGGGCAGGGGTATCAATGTGTGTCTCATTTTGCCCGGCTTTCGCTGGAGGCAGTGGTTTGAATACGAATTTCTTTCAGTAAAACTCTTCGTTCTCATCATCATCGGACATCTGGATACATTCTACACCAGAAGGTGCCAGTGGTGATTCCAGTGAACAGTAATCCTTCACAAACTATCGTGCAAATCTTCCTGCATTTTGTTAGCATCTTCCACCAATCGGTTCCTAACCACCCTACATTTGTTTCTCATTTCTCAAAACCACTTCATGTCAAGTCACAATAAAAAGGGACAGCCTTATCTTACATTTCATGCTGACTTTAAGAGTGAAGAAACAACAACAGCAGTGTCAGAATATTTAGATTTGTATTTTTTTATTTTTTATTAATTAATAATTACTATTATTTTATGCCACATGGTTCTCAAACTACTGCCTAACTAGTGCCAATGGTCATTGAGGCTGTGTATCAAATTAGCAGAAGCAGTAGTAGTAATAGTTGTAGTAGTAAGATAATTTTGGACCAAACTGTGCAGCCTAAAACCAAACAGTGAACCTGGAAAGGTATTTTAAATAGTTTTAGCAGAACTTTTATTTTTCCTCTTACCATTCTAATTGAAAGCTCATTATCTTTTTTTTTTCAAAGTCCTTATTTTGCTCTTACAAACTTCTATTTAGGCCTTACACCCAAAATAACCTCTTGTTGAAGGGCAATCAGTATATTGATTTTTAAAATCAGTTGTACAGGTACATGCCATAGACTCTCATGAGGCTCTATGGGCTGTGTATCCACAAAATGCACTGCCGGGCAATACTTTACTCTTTTTATTTATTTATTTATTTATTTATTTATTTATTTATTTATTTATTTATTTATTTATTTATTTATTTATTTATTTATTTATTTTATTTATTTATTTATTTATTTTATTTATTTATTGTCACTTCAATATTGTAGTGCACCAATATTGATTGTTTTTAAATGCTGTACATACAGTAGATGACACTTCAACATTTGAAATCCCTATTACCCCCCTTTCTCATGCATGAATGTAGTCTGCATGCATAACATAGCATAGCACATAGATCATAGTTATTAAGTATTTTTTGTTCTGTGGAATTCATTTGTAGTTATATGTTTTCTTGAAATAGTTTGCATGAGTACACCTTTTTTAATTTAGTGTTTCTAATGTTTATGTAACTTCATTTTTCACCTTGCATGTTAACTTCGAGGATAAAGCTAAGCTCACTGATAGAGTTAGCTACTTTTGCTTGAACATGTTTTGTTTTGTGTTTCCTTTCCTGTTTTCTGTTGTTCTTGTTGTTGTTTGTGTTTTTTGGGTGTTGCCGTTCTGTCGTACCCAGGTCCCTCAACCCAACAGTATCTTAAGATACACATCCGTCCGCCAGCAATTGGTTCAGTTATCATGGTGAACGGTGACTCGTCCCACATTTTCTCCCTGCCCCTCACCCCTCCACCACCCCCTGCCCTCCCCCTCACCCATCAGCCCCTCTTCACCTCATTTGGCTATAATATGCCCACCTGCAGCACAATTGGGTTTGAACCAGCCTCCTCCTGCTCAGAGGAGCCGCAAAAAGACACAGGTATAAACACACATACACACTGACATCAGCAGAAAAACAACACACACATTTATCCATCATGAGCATATCATATCATACACTTACCATATTTATTTTCAAAAGCTTTATTGTTTCTTTTTTCCATTGTGTTTAACTTGTCAACATGTTATGCCGGATTCAGCAGATTTAACCTTCTGGTATCTTTACCATTAACACTGTAAAAAATACTGGGCTCCACACAATCAATTTGTGTTGGGACAACATTAAATAAGTTAACATGAAACAATTACATTACCCCCCCCCCCCCCTAAAAACTCAAGAATTGTGTTGTTTCAGCTCATTTTAAATAAGTAGTTTGAAAAATCAGCAAATTTTATTTAGTGCAAAAATCCCTAAAAACATTATTATTATTATTATTATTATTATTATTATTATTATTATTATTATTATTTTATTATTATTATTATTATTAATTTATTTTGACGTATAATCAGAAAATGTTGGGGCAGATTTCAGTGAAGTAAAATTTTACAGTGCAAATGTTCTTGTTGCAAAAAGTATCATAATTATTATGAAAATTATATTTTATATAATTACAATGAATAGTACTGTTCAGTAGGGATGGCGTGAAGCTGATGTTTTGATCCAGTGTCGAGATCCCGAAGCACAAGTGTTTCGAAACACTGTATCGAAGCATGATATGAAACACCCAGGTGATGTGACCAAGATGATTCTAAACACCCAGGTCACGTGGTTAAGATGATTCGAAACACTCAGGTCATGTGACTAAGATGATTTAAAAAAAAACAAGTTCATGTGAAAATAGCGATTCAAAACATCAGTAATTTCAGAAGCGTTTTTAGACCTGGCGAATCTGCGTTTGACTGCCAAGAAAAAAAACAAAAAACTATTTCGTAAGGCCTAGTGGACTGTGCATGTGCACAGAATCTCAACTTGTACAAATACTCTGAAATTATGACTTGATGTATTTTATTAATGTTACTTTTTATGACCAAAACGACATATTTAATCACAAAGTGTTCATTCAGATGTCAGACCAATTTTAACACAAAACACATTATAAGCATTTAAAACCTACATCTAAAGCTGCATCACCCTGGATTTCAACCCATTATCTCGAAACGGCAAATAAAATGTTTGAAACTCTCACCACTTAACTAAGTCACTTGAAATCTCAACTCTACACTGTGGGATTTAATACCTCAATTTGCTTAACTATTTCTTTGAAGCTTTCAGAGGACAAAAAAATAACCACTAGATGTCACTGCAGAAACAGGTTTCAAAACGTTTCAAAGCTTCCACACATTTGCTTAGATTGTTTCAGTGTTTCATTGAGCCTCGTTTTGCCCATCACTACTGTTAAGAATGTTGTGTTCAATATGCACATTTCATTTAGTGCAAATTATTATTATTACTTGTATTATTATTGTTATTATTATTATTATTATTATTATTATTATTATTATTATTATTATTATTATTATTATTATTATTATTATTATTATTTTGATGTATAATTAGAAAATGTTGGGACAGATTTCATAGCCAAGTAAAATTTGACGGTGCAACTTGTTGTGGTGCATAAATTATCATAAATCTTAAGTAAAATTATATATTATATAATTACAATACATGATACTGTTCAGAATTTTGGCTTCAATATAATTTCTCAAAATAAGTAAGTATTTTATTCATTGAAATTTAATTAAATTGGTTTCACAATTGTCAAAAAATCCAGTAAAGACTTTTATATGGTCAACAAAAACTTTTAAAGAGGTAAATGCTGTTAATTTGACCTTTTTATTCATAAAATAATCCTGACAAAAGTGTATGATGGTTTCCATAAAAATATTAAGCAGCACAACTGTTTTTTAACACGGATCAGTATTAGTTATTCACTGATACAAAAAATTTTCTTACACCAAACAGCATATTAGAATTATTAAGATGAGGAAAATAGCATTTACAGGAATAAATTACATTGTAAATGCTAAATCAGAAAGAAATATGGTAATATTTTATTTTGATGGTCCACTTGAGTATTAGTAGACTGTCTGCTTAATATCTGTTAACACTGCTCCTTCAACAGACATTAAACTGACTATAAGAAACATTTCAAGTGCGTCAACTTACACTAACCCTAACCCAACCTAACAGTCTACTTATAATCTAATGAGAATTAGTTGGCATGCAGATGCTATGTAACTTAAATTCAACAAACATACCATCAAAATAAAGTGTGACCGAAAATATTGTTAACTGTAAAACTGTTTCTGTATTTACTTCACTTTTAATCCAGTAAATGCAGCTATTATAAGAACAAAATATCTATATATTTTTTTAACAACACTGCACAGTTTACTGTATTTCATTTGGTCTGAATACAGTGTTTTTTTAACCATATATATTTTTATCATCAAGAATTTCCGATTACGGTCAGATATGCTACAGTCCATGTGAACTGCCCTAAATGATCCCTTTACTATCTGCTCCTTTGGTGTGTATGTGGTTGTCAGTGAGGAGTTTGTGAAGCACTATTTTTCAATTTTCACATCACTACATTTGTTTATGTGTATAATTTATTTCAGGCTCAAGAGGATCTGTTTCCAGCCCTCATGGATCCCCTACCCTCAGCGGCCAGCAGAGCGGCGCTAATGAAGAGATCTGGGTGCTGAGGAAACCTTTAGCTGGTAAATACACAATTTCTAATGCAGTTTAAACATATCCCATGAAAAAAATCTTAATTTAAACCACTACAAATTTCAGTAACATTTATTTTATTAAACTGTATGGTTAAAAGTTCTTGGTAATAAGATCAAGTTCCCGAAATTAAATTGCAAAAGTGTGACTATAGGAGAAAGACCCAGCAATCACAAAATATAGAAAACTTTTTATTAATGCATGCATTCTTTACAGTGCATTTTGATGAATATAAAGTGCAAAAGAAGAACATTTATTATAAATTTGTTTTTCGCAGTAATGTCTTTAATGTGACTTTTGATTAAAAATAAGAATTTCTTTGAACAATAATAGTGTTATTACTGACCTCCAGTTTTTGAATGATATTTGAACGGCTATTTAAAGGGATCTTTTCTGAAGATTTGGACATTTCCAAAAATAGAAATTTCATTTAAAAAAATTCCAATAAAATAGAATTTCTGACCTGTTCTTTTAAAAATCATTTTACATTATCAACATGATAAATAAATAAACAAATACATAAATAAATAAATGAATAAAAAACAAATAGTAACACTTTTAACACACACCCTTTGCTACTAGCATACTACCTGCCTATTATTAAGATATTAACAGTTTATTAGCACTTAGAAAGTATGATCTTATTTTACATCCCTACTCAGACCTTAACCTCTGTAAAATAAAAGTCTGTAAAATAACAGAGAAAAAAATGTACCGCCAGTTTACTACAAGGTTGTTGTACAGTAATATACATCACGATCAAAGACAATATATCAATTCAAACTATTTAAAATGTTAATAAAAGTCACTTTTTCAAACTTTTCAGTGTTAAATGTTGTTGGAAAAAAGATCAAGGTTCCAGAATGCAATTCAAAAGCAAAAATAAACAGTGAAAAATATTAAATTAAAATACAGAAAAATGCTAATTTACAAATATCTTTACAGTGCAACTACTTCATTATAACTATTTGTTGTGTACTACAACTAAGCAACTAATCAGTAGTTTATGGAGCTAAAAATCTTAGCTAATGGTTGGTTAGCGTGAATTGTACTGTACATTAAAATAAAGCGTGACCAATCAAACAAACGAACAAACAAACAAAACACACACGCACATAATTACTTGTCGTATATTCAAGTAGCGACCTTTTCCTTTACTATGAACATGCTCACAGGTTTTCATTTCTTGCATGTTACCTTGTGCCTCCAGCAGGTGGCAGTGTTGGCAGCATGGGAAGCACAGGCAGTCTAAGCGGACGCTCATCTGCTAGTGGACAAAGCAGTAATGCCAATGCCCACCTCACCAACTCTCCAGTACCCGTGCCCACCACCCCAACACACTCACCTGGAGTGAACACACATGGCCTCAATGTCCCGGGACTGCATGCTCAGGCAGAGGGAGTGAAGGTGAGATACATACAAACACTAGTTTAGTCTGTTTAATGAATCAGCCATTTTAAAGGCTAGCTCAAATGCTTAATTCTTAAAGTGCACTGAAACATTCGTGCACTGATAAGCACCATAATGCACTATGAAAGTCAGAGAGCATCAAAATGGAGTTGCAAAATATGAATCGTGAACACTCACCACACAAACAAAGGTGAAACAGAGGTTTAAAACAAAACAAAACAGTAATTTACTTATAGAGGCTGTTGAATGTTTGATTCAGATCATGGCTGATAAGCATTAAGCTATCTGTTCAGATAAACACACAGCTACAGCCGTTATTGACCACACTACAGTTCCACATCACAAAATAATGCACAATGAGGTGGTGATGCATGCAAAAGTTCACCATTTACTCACCCTTAATATTTTCTTCTTCTTTTTTTCTGTTGAAAGATAGTTAAAGTATGTTGGAAACCAATAACCATTTACCTCCACAGTATTAGATTTTCCTACTGTGGAAACCAATGGTTACCAGTTTTCAGCTTTCTTCATAATATCTTCTTTTGTGTTCAACAAAACAGAGAAGAACAAAAAACAAAAGTCATGTGTGAGTAAATGATGACAGAATTTAAATTTTTGGGTGAACTATCCCTTTAAGCCTAAGGTCAAACAAACATCATTAGATACATGCATAATAATCTAGTAAAAAAACAAGTAGAATAGATATCAGACTGGAATATTTCTGGTATATGAAGCAGCCAATGTACAGTGCTCAGCATAATTGAGTACACCCCATTTTAAAAATGATTTTTTTTTATCCATTTCTCAATAAATATAGGTCATATGTTTTGGTGCATTTGAACAAAACAGATTTATTAAACAGATATATTTATTAAAAATATTTTAGACATCAAATACACATGATTTTTAGAAATTAAAAGATAATACAATTAAATTCAAGCTAAATATTGGCAAAAAAAAATGACCTACAAAATTTTAACTAAAGTTCTGCTTTAGGAAGATGTTTTCATCTCAGTGGGTAAACAGATTTCTCTAACAGCACCCAAAATCTTGTTCTGTACATGAAAGTATTACGTTCACTACATCAGGAGCTGATTGCGATGCACCATTTGTCTGTCTTGGTCTCTATTTCTCACATTATTGATCGTGTGTGTGTGCATTTGTGTGTGTGTTTTAGCTGTTGGCCACAGTGCTGTCCCAGTCAGCCAAAGCAAAAGAACATCTTATGGACCAATCTCAGTCTGTCTCAGATCCTAATTCAGGTACTGCGATGTGTGTATGCCTCTTTTTATTTGAGTTTTTATAGAAACATAAAGATTCTTAGCCTTATTTTAGTTACTTTCGAACATTTATCATTTATTGGTGTTAGTAAAAACAGGAAAACAAACCTTTTTTACGTGAGTTTATGGAAAATCTGTTTTTGTTACAGCATATATTATGTATATGTATTATATTGTATATGTCAAAATACAACAAATATATATATATATATATATATATATATATATATATTCTATTGATTTGACTGTTTGTCTCATTTGTACACATCTTGTATGTCCATTTTGTTTCACCTACAGATGTTATATAAGCCCACATGTTTATTCCTGGTAAGTAATGTGCGATTTACATTTTATTTGCTGTTTAGCATCCCCTCAGCGACCTCAGAGTGTATCTGCTGTCCCACGTCAGCAAAGGAAAAAACCTTTTGTGGATCCATTGCTGCAGAGGAAAGATGAAGCTTCAGCTGAGAGCAAGGCAAGTGTGTTTAAATCAACTTAATGCGCCCTACATCATTATTAACATCCTAATTAACATCATTTTGAAAAGTAGTGTGTAAGTACTTCCCCTAACAATGACTAGTGCTGTCACAGTATAAGATTGTAATATCATATCACCATAAAAAACACAGTATTATGGAACAGTTTGCTCAGGTATAATTTTGAAGGAATGTTTTTGCTGCCACACAGTGGCTGTAGTGTGAACTGCCTAACACACTTTTATTTCACATACAGTATCATGACTCTGTCAAAGATACCCTGAATTATTGATTTGTTTGTGTATGTATGTGTGTGTTTCAGAGCTCAGAGGCTGTTGTGGAATGGCTCACCAGTGCGCAGCTGCAGTTCTATACAACAAACTTTCTGACTGCTGGTTATGACCTGCAGACCATCAGCAGAATGACACCAGAGGTAAATAATAAATAAATAAATAAAACAAACCCCAGATGTCACTCATTTGTGTGTTTGTCTATATATATATATATATATATATATATATATATATATATATGAGTTTTAGATTCAACTTTGTGTGTGTGTGTTGTGTTTGTGTGCATGTTTGTTTATCTACCCACAGGACCTCACTGCTATTGGAGTGACAAAACCAGGGCACAGGAAGAAAATGCTTTCAGAGATCAGCAAAATGAACATCCCAGACTGGATACCTCAAGAGAAACCTGTAAGAAAATAACATGGGATTGTAGAAAAAAATATTGAAAACTCAAATGTTGAATGAAAAACTAGAATTTAAAATGTTGATTACATTTTACATAATGTACATTCACATTCTATAACAAAGTATTCTCAAGGACCATGATTATTTTTTTGTTTCTGTGTAACTTTTTAGTCCAGTCTGGCAGAGTGGCTGTCTGCAATTGGTCTGAATCAGTACTACCAGACTCTGGTTCAAAACGGCTACGACAATATGGACTTCATTAGTGACATTACCTTGGAGGACCTAAAGGAGATCGGCTTCACTAAACTAGGCATGCAACTTTTTTTTTCTTTTATTTATGTATTTCCGCTTTGGATTTTGAATTAATTTTAATATCTGGTATTTCGTTTTTTTTTTATTAGTTGGTTCTTTTATGGCCTGTTTCCACTGACTAGTACGGTTTGTAATAGTACAGTACGGTACACATTTATGTCCATTTCCACTGTTAAAGGTACCACAAAGTAAACGGTGCCATTCCTCTTATTGGCACCACTTTTATAGGGTACTTAGCACAACAGAATGATATTAAAAGAGTGGAGCTAGACACTCAGCTGAATGCTATTGGTTTACAGAGAATTGTCACCAGCATGTGCGACAAGCCATTGAAACAACAGCACAAGAAGCTCCGTATTGAAATAAACAGCTGAGTCATGACACCATAATAATACAGTGATGACCTGAGCTCAAACAAAGCTTGTCATCTTCTTGTGACAAACATCGACATTTCAAGACAGAATCTACTGTACTGTATGTCCTCTATTGTTGTTTACGGGGAATCTAAAAACCTTTGCAAAGCACAAGTGGTGACACTTTTTCTCTCTGTTTGCATGGGCTTGCTGCCTATCAATATATGAAATATTGAACTTGAGTTTACAAAAGATGCAATATGGTAGTGACCCATACGGCTTTATTCTTCGAGTGAGAATGATGCCAATTGCAACATTCTGCTGTTCATCACCCACCTACCAAAATGGTACTATTAGCAATGGAGACACAAGCCTGATCAAAGTGTCCTGTACTGTACTAATCTCAGCCATACTGGAAATGAGGCCTTATAGTTTCTCGATATTCTTTATTTGCTTTTTGGATAACAGCTGGTCATTTCAGCTGGAAAAACAGTACAGTTTAAACCTCACAAGCAAGAATAATAACTGTCTGATATTTTTTCTCTCGAACAAGGACACCAGAAGAAACTGATGCTAGCCATCAAAAGATTGAGTGAATCTCCAGAAGCGGAGAGTCTTTCTAAGGAAAGCCAGTTAGAAGAAAGCACAGATGCAAAACAACCATTAGAAACCAGCACAGAACCAGATGTGAACTCTGTCCCATCAGCTCGAATACGTAAAAGAGCGGAGGGGCGTTCAGAGGGGCGGCCAGAGGGGCGTCCAGATGGGCGTTCGGAGGGGCGTAGCTCACCCCGGCACAGCACACAGGGTCGGGGGATACAAAGAGCTAATGCCCCTCCTCCTCTGAAGAAACCAAGCTCGATTGATAGTCCCACCCCAACACCTCCACACACCCCAACTAAAGGTAGAACCTCATCTTCATCTTCAAATTCTCCTTCACACATCCCTTCCTCTCCACTAAAAACACAAAGCAGGCCCAGAGGGCCTTGCGACTCTCCCCGTTCACATGCTCATGCACGCACCGTCCCAGTACTTTGTCTACCACATGAAGGAGAAACAGAAGAGAGCAATGGTCAAACTCCTTCCCAGCCAAGACGTGGACAGTCTATCAATACAGATGCTGACTTACCCATGCCAGACTCTTCTGTTAAATACGCCACACTAGGTGGACATAAGACCACCTCCAGCAGCTCCACAAGAACCTCTGGCGAATCCCTTGACATCAACAGTGTCAATCGCAGTCAGTCATTTGCCACAGCTCGGCCGCGGAGACGGACTCGTCCTCCAACTCCACCAAAACGCTCATGCTCTTCCATTTCCACTGGGAACCTGACTGATGAGGCTGTGGCTGATGATGCAAGATTAAGCGAAAATAGGGCTAACAATTTGCTACTCAACGTGACATACAGGGAGCGGAGACGGAGTGACTGTGGCATTGCCTCAGAAAAAACGTCATCTGGGGGCAGCGTTAGAGACATTGCTGCCATGCTGGAAATGTCCAATCTTGGAAACAGTGGTAAAGGAAGTGGAAGTGGTTACACGCAGGTAATTACACTGTTTAATTATGCAAAATCTATGAATAAAACATTCTACTGTCAAGATTAAGTGCAATTATTCCTGACAAACTATTTTACAATAGCTGCGTCCCAAATGGCACACTATACACTACACTATGCAATCATGCACTATGTACTTATGCACTTACACACTCAACAGGATAGTATATGCATGTAGTGTTGTCCCAAATGACACACTAATGTTTTTTCTACTAAGCGGAAATTTAAACCGTTTCCCTGATGACGTTTGACAGTCGCCAAATCAGTGAAATAAACAACCAAATTATCAAATAATACCTGCCATGAGTATAACCGCATTCACCATCGGTAGGCGCTATAATCACTCTCGTAGGAGAATTTTGCTTTCACCATCCAAAATAAATGAAGTTATTCAACATGTGCGTCCGATAGCTCCGCCCCTTCCGCTACGTAAGCAAACCTGCGGTCGTTGAGTGCGTGAAGTGTCCATCATTCCACACTTCATTTTAGCAGCTGAATAAGTGCATCATCCGGGTAATTAAAGTGCACTCATTATTTTTAGAGTTTTCAGTGTGAACACACTAATTGCACTATTTATACTACAAAATGGCGTAGAACAGTGCATAAGTATGCGATTTGGGACGCAGCTAATATTTTTAAGTGTACCGGAAATGAGTATGCATGGGTAACTGTTTAGGAAAATAATTCTGTAATTATGTGATTGATTGATTGATTGATTGATTGAAACCTAGCTAAACTCTGTTGTACATGTCCCCAGGTTAGTCAAAACGTCCTGAGGCAGAACCGTGAAGTTCTCAATTTGGATGCAGATAGTCGACGTCGCACAATCAGCGAGTTTTATGATTCTCAAAAGCAGTCTGCTGATGTACAAGAAGCTGAGATGAGGCAGGACACGGCACATCATAAACCAGAACCTCGTGAAACCCATCTACTTAAACAGGCCCCTGAACCACGTCCCCGCTCCATGATCACTCATCTGGAAGGGGGTGTTTCTTCTCTGCCTCAAGAGGAGTGGTCACGAATGGATGCAACAGCGACATTGAGAAGGCCTCGACCACCACATCACACTGATGGTGAACATTTCAACCTGACAGAAACTAGTACGATAAAGCGAAGGCCCAAAGCATTGGCTCAGCCCCAAAGTAATGGGACAGATGGGGATGGACCAGAGAACTTTCGAAGAAGGCCTGTATCTGAAGCTTGCGTCGGAGATGGTGGTAGGGATGAAGAACTTCACCATGATGGTTTTGGATCTCTTCCTAGGCAAATACTGAAACCCCCAGTTTCACCTAAACCAGCAATGGCCCTTCGAAAATTCGATCCTCCAACTCCAACAAGAAGGGTTCCCTTACCTGGGCCAGAAGGTCAGCATAGTCCAGGTAACAATTGTCCTGCTTAGTAATTCATTAATGAATACAATTTATGGGTATTTTAAACAGCAACTGAAGGATTCCAGGTCTTTGTTTGGCATTACAGTTGATGTTTGTTATTGTGTTTTTCTTCAATTCTTGTTGTACATTACATGAATTCTCTGTCTCTTTATAGTTGAGGTTAGGAAAATCCCTCCTCCAGTATCTCCCAAGCCAAGTCCGCCGCCGACACTGCCTAAACCTGTTAAAATCAAGCCAATCCATACCATTGGAACTCCTGGTTCTCCTCAGCCAGATGTTGTCAGTCCATTCAGTGCCTCTTTTAGCCCCGTTTCAATTGAACAACTGGAGCATCCACCACAGACACTGAGTCCAGTCACCCCAAAACCAATGGAGGGAAGCATGCTTTCCCCACGTCCAGCAACATCTCCAGCTCAGAGTCCACAGACACCCCAAACCCCACAAACCCCACAAACACCCTCCACACCAGGCTCAGGCTCAGCTCCAGTGAAGCCCCCAAGGTCTTCCATGGCCGGTCTCTCAGTAGACATCCCAAGCCCTCTTGAAGTAGATGTACCTGGATTGGATGTGCAAAAGAGGCTCAGAGAATCAGATAAGCAGAGAGAGGATGATGACATGAGGAAGCAAGAGAGAGTAGATGAAGTTGGATTTGCTAAAATGGAAAGGACAGGTCTGATCCAGCTGGATCCATTGTTTCAAGGTGAACAAGGCCTGATTTCAGGTTCCTCTGTGGGGAGTCATTTAATTGAGGCAGGGGATGGAGCAGGACCAGTGGTAATGAGAAGAAGGAAGGTAGGTGTAGCCAGACAGACACAAGTAGAGGGGGAATCACAAGAAGGAGAAGGAAAGACAGAGATGGAAGGCCAAGGGTTACTAAAGATCGCTGAAACAGGAGGCTCTTCTTGTGGGGACGTAATGCAACTCAGACTGGACGAGACCAGTGCATCCCTGGCAGCTGCTCTGGAAGTCGTGGAGGAAAAGATTAAGAAGGATGACAGGTACATGAGTGGATGTTTCTAGACATTAAAAACAAATTCTGTTTTTCCTCTTTGGCTATAAGGGCTCTATTTTAATGACCTAGTCACAAAGTCTAAAGCATTAAGGGTGTGTGCGAATCCACTTTGGCTATTTTAAGGAAGGAAAGAAGACACTATAGCGCACACCCTAGCGCATGGTCTAACAGAGTTGTGCTTATTAATGAGTTATGGGTGTGTTTAAAGCACAACGCGAATTAAACCAATCAGAGTCTCATCTCCCATTCCCTTTAAGAGTCAGTTGTGTTGCGCCAAGGCACATTTGCTATTAACATGGCAGACTTTGTAGTGGATAAACTAAATAGAAAAGTTGAAACCCTTTACTAGCAAGAAAACAGTTAAACAGACCATCTGCAGTACGAGGATAAAGAACGAAGCTCCTCCATTCGGCCTCTTTACTTTTACTACTTTACTCCTTTACTTTCGTGTACAAAGAAACGGTGTTGTACGCACTCCACTGAAGACATCCATTAGTCTACATGTTTAATTTGATTTAAGCGCAAAGATTTGTTTCAAAACTACTTCTAAATTCAGTTCTAATTCCCAGCAAACAAATAAATAAACTATAATAACGAAGTGTGGTAAAAAAAAAAAAACTGAGTTATATCCATACACACATCCTATCCGTATGCCCCATACAGTGATGCTTACGTCTCCAAAGCGCCACAGGTACTTTTTTTCTTAAAACAAATATAAATATGCATATAATTAATAATAATAATAATAATAAAATTATATATGCAAATGATCATGAATAAACTGAATAAAGCCCCCAGAGATGGAGGCATGGAGGTAGTGGTTTTTATATTTATGTTAAAAATAATAATTTTTGTAACAATTTTATAATAATTTTTGTTTAATCCTTTTTTTTTTTTTCATATGTAAAAATATTTGTGTGTCACTGTACATCCTGTGTGCATTAACCAATGTGTATGCGTTTTGGACCTGCATAGATGCATAACTAACACACTCTGTGCTGGACTTTAGACCAGCTTTCAGTTGGTCAGTTGCGCAGTCTATTTCAGTACCTAAAAATAGCAACGCACCTTAACACACCTCCTTTTTAGTGGAGAACGTAAAAGGTAAAATTTAGGCTTGCGCTGGTCTGAAAATAGCAACAAATCGTGCCAAACATGTCTTGTGCCTCATTGCACCAGGTGTAGGATAGATCCCCAAGTCTTATCATTAGCTATGTTTACATCCAATGATGTAAATTAGTTTTATGCTAAAAACTGAAATATTGCACAAAACACTGACGTATAAAGCACTATTTCCATCCATTTAGGCAAAGAGAACAAAATTGTTACTTCCTGATAAACTGGCGGCAAATATGAATATTTGGTGCAATAGGAGAAGCTACTGTGGGATTTTTTCTTATGTAATATTTGACCTGCACCTCAGAAGACAAAGATAAAATGCAATGAATGTGCGCTGACTTTTAGAGATTCGAGACCACACAGTAATTGCTGAAGACTGCAATGGATTGAAACATAAGCTATTGCATTATGATAACGATAGCTTGAAGTTTTTCTATTCTCTTCATTCTTCTATTTTTTTCCCTCTCCAGCTCCACCGTGGACAACAAGAGCACAGTCAACATCCTCGATGACATTGGCAGCATGTTTGATGACCTTGCGGACCAGTTGGATGCCATGTTAGATTAAAAATCTAATTCCAATGGGAGTGTGACACTCAATTGTCTTAAAGATTTTCAGTGAGGACCAACGAAACCTATATGGATGCCACCTCAGAAAAATAAGAACAGGACAGGGCAGATTACGCTCTTCCACTCTCAGTCGAAATACTTTAAGTTAAATCAACCTCAAACCCCTTTCATTCTCCACCAGCCTTTCGTCCTACTCTAGTGGCCAGAATAGATACCGCAAGAACATATCCTGATCTGCAAATACAGCCTGCTGTCATGCTGCTTTCAGAGATAAGCACAAATTTAAGAAAGACTGTATGTGGCGAGCTTTCTAAATACATTATAAGCAGAGAAAAGCTATTATGTGTGAGTGTGTGTGTGTGTGTATATGTGTACAATATGTGGAGTGAGAGTTGAATATTGATGAATATTTCTTTTGATGGCAGTGTAAAGAGCTGTACCATTCTCTGCCGAGAGCTTGTCCACTTGTAAATGGGAACTTTGAATTTCACCTTGTGGTCTTCAGCTGGACAAGTCAATGAGAAACCGAACACGTTTTGGACGATGAGCACAGTCCTATTTATAGCCCTTGAAAATATTCAGACTTTTTTGGACTATTTTATCCAAGATTTCTTTATTCCCTTGAAGTCTAATGAGGTCAAGCTTGGGACTTAAAGAGGTATATTGTAACCTTTATGTACGTTATTATTGTTGTTGCTGTTGTTGTTGCTGTTGTTGTCAGTGTGTGTGTGAATGTTTGACTGTGTAGTGTAGCTCTCGCATTGACAAATCCCACCCTGCCCAAGGTGAAATACATAGACATAGAGTACAGAATAAGATGCTGGAGAGAGTAGTGTATATATGACATATAGTTTATAGTTATCATTGATAGTCTATAGAGTATGGAATGCATCAATATGGAATGCTAAAGACACCTGCTCATTCCTAATGTGCTCTAATAAGTGTTTGTGTGTGTTTGTATGTGTGTGTTAGGAGGAAGGATCTGTTTAAGAGTGAGAGAATTAGGAAGTTTGTGTTCATACTTTTGAAAATGAGGCACTATGTATGTCTTCTCTTACAAAAACGTACCATGTATTTGAACATGGCGCCATGGTATTTTTTAAGCATCTTAGATGAGCAGATCAATTCTTCAGTGCATGGATATGGTAATCATACAGTACCATGGTAGAGTTCCAAGTACTGTTTCATTACCATCTGATACCATAGTACCTCTTCAGTACTTTTTTGTAAGGGCTGAATGTGTGTCAGTGCAATTTTCCCTGTTTTGTCATGCAAACAACCAACAAATAAGACTTGCTGACAGAATAAGTTGCAAATGCTATACGATTAGATTATTTAAGACGATGTTATTGCAAGATGTATAAGACTACAGAGCAATATTTTTATCCATGCACCATGTTGTTAATTTAGCTTTATAAATGATACTTTAAAACCAGCCGTCTGGGATGCAACAGAACTGAGCATTTTCCGACAATCATGACAGTGTTGTCCTTGATTTTGACCCTGCAAAGTCAGTGGAATAGATGTTGGAGTATCAAATCTTTTGCAGTGTAAAACTGTGTAATAATCAGTTGTTATTTTGTGTAAACCTTCAGATGGCTAATGTGTTTGTCTGACCCTGGTGAAATGATCATCAAAGACCTCTTCCATGTAAAAAGCATTGAGAATATGTGGAATTCATATAAATAAATTGTTATGAATATAAGAGTGGGTTTGACTTATGACGCCAAAACTATTACAGTTTCTTTTTGCGACGAAAACATGACTTGCTTGTTAATATTATCATTATTTAAGTCAATCTGCAGACGCCTCCAAAGGGTAGCTGTTAATAGGGTTGGAAAAATGTGACCCACTGAAAAAAAATATTCAAGGATGATTTCTTGGATTTACTAAAAAAAATTTAAGTTAGGGGGTTGTAAACAATTTAAATTTATTTGGGCTGATTTTAAACAAACAAATTAAATTGAACATTACTAAATTTAATTTGTTTGTTTAAATTCAACACAAATAAATTGTTTGCAACAACTTTGCAGACAGCATTTTGTGTGTGTGTGTAATCTAGTTCACTTTGACTAAGAAACATCTGACCTAAAATCAAATAATAATAATAATTTATTTTATTTGTAAATGTCGCCTTTCAAGACACCCAAGGTCGCCTTACAATAAGCATCAACAGACATGCTAAACAAATTAAACATTACTAAACCAATCATTGACCAAACATGTTAAACACACAATAGCGACTATCAAAGAACATAATAAAAACATAATGAAAAATTGTTAAAGAAAAGTTTGCTTAAAAAGATGGATCGTTAGACGGGATTTAAAAGTGTGAAGACTATCACTGCTCCTTAGAATTAGGGGAAGCGAGTTCCATAGCCGAGGAGCCATAGAGCTAAAGGATCTGTCTCCCATTGTGCTCAATCGAGTGCGAGGTAGTACCAGGGTGGAGTTGTTGGCTAATCTAAGGGTACCAGAAGGGGTGTAGATATGAAGTTACGGATGTGGTCTGAATCGCATGTGTGCAGTTACGAATGTGGTCAGGACAAGATGAATCTCCCTCATTTTGTGCTGTTTGCATAATGATTTGATTGTTTTACAGCAAGTGCTTTGGTTTTTTTATTGAGTGTGTCCGCAAGTTTCAGATGGAAATGATTAACACACCACCTACCTTTGCACCATAACCTGCCGTTATGTTTGCTTTTCTGAAGTTTTATATTGATGTCTGAAATGCAGCTTGTATTGCAAACATACCAAAAGAACACACAAGCATTGGGACAAAACATAAACGTCAGTTTACATTCTATTAGTTATCTCCATTCTGTAATGTTATAGTTTATATGGTTTGTTCAATTTTTCACTTGACATATGTGTTAGGATATAGGACAATATGTGATACAACTGTTTAAAAATCTAGAAACTGATAGTTAAAAAAAAAAATCAGAATACTGAGAAAATCACATTTAAAGTGTTGAGCAATTATGAATTAAAAATTGAGTTTGATACCTTCATGATATTTAAATATTATATTCTAGTAATTGCTGGCATTTATAATAAAAATCTATAAATATACACATGCAACTGAAGAACAGGTCCAAGGTCACATGTAGTGTGTTGTTCTTTAGTTTCTTTAAGAAAAGGGAGGACAAGCAAGCTCTCACACTTAAAAAATATGCTTATTCTATTTTCTGAATATTTTCATAATTTGCTGTTAACATCATTACTTATTTTTATCAACCAAAAATAGAAATAAAAAAATGGCAATAAAGAGTAGAGCCATAATTCTTACATACCTGCATGCACCATACTATAAATAGGCTTCTCTTTTGGTAATATAACTCACGTCATTTGTTATTTTGTCTTTTGTGAGTCCATATGAACTAGAGGGGCATGAATGTGCAACTACTTTAGACCTCAAATTACTTTCAGTTTCCATTTACAATAAATGCTCACATCTTGTAACACCCTGTTACGAACACTCTTTGAAGAAATTGCAGCTAAGATTTGCTGCCATATACCATCGTACCCATCTGCGCATTAGACTATAGGCTGCTGAAGAAGGTATATTTTGGACAAACTGTGGTGAGTGTCTAATGCAGTTTCAAGCAAACCGTTATGTACATAAAACTATGTAATTAAATACATTTCCTGTTTGAAAAAAGCAAACAAAAACACTAGCCGTCTGGAATTGGAAGGCTTGTTTTTACTTACAGCATATATGAGATATAAGTATTTATAGTTGATTTTTGGCATGCATCTTAAGGCATTTTTACATCTGGCTGGTTTGAGCTTGGAAATCTGGTGCCTTTCTGTCTGTTACGATCGTTTATGAAAGCACCACACTGCCCGCACCCCACTTGGCATAAAATTGTTGAGACGGGGATTTAGTTTGGTGCTGGGCACATTTTGTTTATAATATTTAACAATAACATTATTTGCGCTCGAGCCACACCAAAATAATATATATTAGTACGCTTGAATTTAGTCAAGACTAAAGATTAACGGTGGAAATTTGCTAAGTCTTAAACTGTCATTGTCATCTCCGAATTATTCATGGTATTTTTATAATGTATACAGATGTCCGTCAACTTCCATATTTTCCTACATGTTGCTTTTAAAACTCAGCTTTTGACGAATGTTTTATTTTTATTTTTGTCTGCAAACTTGGTGCTAACAAACGATGTTTAAAAATCTTCTATTTGTAATCCTGGACTTCTCAGAAATGCTGTACAGTTACATTTGTTCTGTTTGTTCTGTCCTTCAGTGAACTGTGATTCAAAGTGAAACCGAAAGTAAAAACCTGTAGGTAATGCTCTGATGAGAGTTGCTATATTTGAGCTCTCTATAACAATGAACTAATTAGCGATTTTATTATTCATCTTATTACAGTTTTTCCCAATTGTTTACACACATTTTCTGAAAGCAAGTCTCATATTGTCAGAACTCTACACAAAAAAAGAAGGAAAAAAATAGTGTAAAGCAGGAATTGTGCTTGTTGTTTAGCAGAATTGGTTCAGGTTGGTGCATCAGTTACATGTTGTAGTCACTGTGTCTGAAGTAAAAGTAATTGTGTGTAAATAACTAAGAAAAACGGTATTCTGTTTCATTACATCTTTTGTGTGTTTCTAGTGTGCTTATACATTTATAAGAGGAAAAAAGAAATGGGAGGATCAAAATCAAAACAAACACCCACTGATGGTAAGTTAAGCCTTTAATATTATAAATGTCCTCACCAGAAAATATTCTACTTTAAACTAAAGGCTACATTTAAGGGGATTTTTAAGCACTCATATCCAGATATAATCAGTTTATTGTTAAATGTATGTTTATCTGATTTATAGATTCTTCCAAAAAGCTGGACAAACCATGGAGGAACTTTGACTGGGAGTGAGTGACAATGCAGATAATGGGCCATGCTATGATTACAAAACATTTTGAATCTAAAAGTAGCTATTTAATGCTTATTTAGGAGAAAATCTTTTAAAAAGCAATGGGTGTGCCACTCCTAAATGTAGAACTTCTAAAGTTTAGAATTTTTACAGTGTGTTTTAGTGCTAAAACTAGCCCTAAGTATGTGAAATGTTAAAAGTAGTGAAGAGAACTCCTTAATCACTCAGACTGAATCAAAATCAATCATCTATCATGTTTGCTTTTGTACAAAAGATGCATTTATTTTCACACACACATGATTCCACACACCTTTTTTTTTTTAAATAGCAAAAGATGTATATAAAATGTATCTCTTATCTTTTTCAGACAGAAGGACAGACTTAAAGAACGCCTAGAAAAGTTTCAGCTGAGCAGTCCAGATCTTAATTGCGTCAAGCTCCTGGTAGCTGGACAAATTGGAGCAGGAAAGTCCAGCTTTATTAACTCAGTCAACAGTGCCTTTCAAGGACAGATTGTCTGTGATGCACAAGCTGATGCTCAATCAGCAGCCAGTCACAGTTATACAAAAAAAGTAGGTATTTTTTGACTCCTGTTGCGTTCCCATGGTACTAAAATAATGTAGTGCTAAAAACGAGCCTGCTATAAATTTAACAACACATTTTCAGGAAATATAGACAAATCACTAAATTAATCAGGTGAATTCATTTAAAATAACCAGCATCTCAAACTGTTTTGCCATAATGTGTGATATTTACATATATCTGTGGTGTGAACTATTTAATTACAGCTGGAAGGATACCGCATCAAAAATGCAGATGCAGATTTGCCTTTTGAAATCTGTGATGTAATGGGTTTAGAACCACAAGAATTATCTGGGTTACAACCAGAAGATGTTGTCAAGATCATACACGGCCATGTGAAGGAGGGCTATAAGGTTATACATTCAAATGAAAATTTCCTTCATTCATTTAACTCATAATGAACATTTGAACAATGCCTTATTTGTATATATTTTGCCTGTATTTCACAGTTTACAGAGAATCCAATAACTAGTAAAAGTGAATCATACAATGAAATCCCTTCACTGTCAGATCAAGCATTCTGCCTGGTGTACGTTGTGGATGCAAATACAATCCAGTTAAAGTCAGATGATACAACACTTCTTAAAAAGCTGAGGCTCATCCGCAAGAAACTCACTGATGAAGGTAAAACTTTGTATAACCGCATGGTAGTGTAATATATAAAATGTCTTGAAAACATAGATATATTGTTGTTTTGAATGAAATGGTAGAAATGAAGTGTAGGAACCTATTAAAACATTTATATTTGTATCAATTAGATTTTGCTTCTTATTGCAGGCATTCCTCAGGTGATTGTCCTGACTAAAGTGGATGAAGCATGTAAACTGGTCGAAAGTAATCTAAAGGACATCTACTACAGCATTACAATTAAAAAAAAGGTAGATCATTTAATACACATTTCATGTTTTTGTTGTTGTTGTGATTTTACCAAAAATTTTGCATTCTGTTTCTGTCCAGATGGAGTTCTGCAGTGCAGAGATTGGCGTGCCAATGACCATGATTTTCCCTGTCAAGAACTACCATAATGAGGTTGACACAGATGACTCTGTTGATGCTTTGATACTTAAGGCATTTGATCAAATTGTGCGTTCAGCTAATGCCAGACTAAGCCGTGGATCTTCCAATGAATAAGAAATGAATGTTGACGACCTGAGAATGTTGTAGAGCAGAAGAACACAGTTATGTTTTACTGGGTAAAATATAGGCTTATAGATTTTTAGAATAACACCTACAATTGTATTTAGGATGAATATGAAATAACCCATATGTAATAATCTTTATCAAGACACGTTCTATGTATACATCATGATAGAAAAACATTTGACAATGGTAAAGGGTATCACACATAGGCCTATCAGAAGTTTTGAAGCATCCTTATGGATGGTTTAAAAATTGATGTTTAAAATAATAATAATAAAAAATAAATAAATAAATAAATAAATAACAAAAAAGTAAATTTGCATCTTTATGAAGATCCAATTTAAATAGCTCACTCGTGTGAATATTAGCAAATATCGAGTAGTGCATGCAAATATTGAACTGTACTTCAACAGTAAAAGCTTTACCTATTTCACCTTCTCTAGCAGGGAGTCTAGCAGAGTATTAACATGTTAATCAGCAATACTATCTTTTATAACCCTTATAATAATTATAATTCTATAGTAAAGTCTGTGATAATTTTTTTTTTTTTTTTTGCATGTAGCAAATACAAAGATAAATATAATTAATTGCTGTATATGTAATAGAATATAGCAAAAAGTTGCTAGTTGTAATAGCGATTAATTCCGGATTCAGTCAGCATGCATGGAGATGTTCCTATTGTATTGCATGTTTGGAATCTGCGTAAATGAAATCCTAAAAGCAACTATTTTTGTCTACATAACATTCTTGACCACATTCTTAGTGAAGAAATTGTAAATAAAGGATCTGTGTGAGAGTGAGAGAATTAAGAAGTTTGTGTTCATTCTTTTGTAAATGAGGCAATATGTATGTCTTCTCTTACAAAAATTTACCATGCTTTATAAGTGATACTTTTAAAATCAGCCATCTGATACAACAGAACTGAGCATTTACTGACATCAGGAGTGAACATATCTTCTGAATGTAAAGAGAAACGTAGCTGCTTATGGGGCCGTGCATATAGGACCCTATCATATACCTGGCCCAATAAAGCGCAAGACGTGTTTCCATGATGTGTTGCTATTTTCAGATCACACAACATTAATTTTCCCATTTTCCGCCATGTTGTTTAAATAGCAAATCCATTTGCGCCACTTTGTGGACTCATGGGTTTTCTGCTCTGGAAAGGAGGTGTGTTAAGGCGCATTGTTGGCGCTGAAAGCAGGTCTAAAGTCCAGCGCAGAGTGCGTTAGTTGGGTGCCTCCCCTACACATTAAAACACACAGGATGAACAGCAATACAGAAATTTCTTTACAAATTAACAAATAATTAATGGATTAAAATATTAGAAAAAATGATTATTTTAATTTTTATTATTATATTATATTATTTAATATTCATTTTATTTTTGGCTTATTTTCTTTATTAATCTGGGGTTGCCACAGTGGAATGAACTACCAACTTATTCAGCACATGTTTTATAGAATGCCCTTCCAGCTGCAACCCATCACTGGGAAACATCCATACACACTCATTCACACACATATACCATGGACAATTTAGCCTACCCAATTTACCAGTACAGCATGTCTTTGGACTTGTGGGGGAAACCTGAGCACCCAACACGAGGGGAACATGCAAACTCTACGCAAAAATGCCAACTGATCCAGTTGAGGCTCGAACCTGTGACCTTCTTTCTTTGAGGCAATTGTGCTACCCACTGCGCCACCGTGCTGCCCATCATTGGAGAATACTTGACCAAAAAATAATTTAGCCTTAACCTCAAAAAATACATTTTACCTCAAAAGTACATTTAGTCTCATTCTGTTTTTAATGAACATTTTCATCACTTGCATTTCTATCAGGACCACTATTGTCATTATATAAGAGAACACAATTGTATTTGAGTTGAGGGGTATAATGATTCTGTTTTGGGCAAACTTTCCCTATCCGCTCAGCATTGGACAGGGAGAGCATGAAGGACAGAACCAGCATTAATAAGGTATACACCATTAATATTCTTCTAAGTGACTTTTTTATGCAACAACAACATAATTCTGTGGTATATCATCCATAATAATGCCTTTCCCAGAGTCAAACCATTGCTCATATTTCAAGAGTTCGCCCTTAGCTGATGATTGATTATAAAGTGTGTTTGGCATGCTGTCCCGGGAGAGAGGCCTGAGCTTGTGAGATCCTCGAGCTCGGGGCTCCCCCATTGCAGGGCAGGAGGGGAGTCTTAGTTCAGGTAGGTCTCGAGAACTCCCCTGCTTGATAATGGTCAATATAGATTATAAATAGCTATAGAGAGCGTATGCTGAATTCAACGCTTGTCTATGATGTCAATTTAGTTTTGTCAATTAACTTGTTTAACATATTTTATGTCTGTGGGAAGAAACCGGAAAGCCTGAGAAAACCCACACAAACACGGGGAGAACATTCAAACTCCACACAGAAATGCCGACTTGGCCAGGTAGGATCTGAATCAGTGATATTCATGCTGTGAGGCAATGAAGCTAACTATTGAACCTCCGTGCTGCACGGACAAGGAAAGGGGGGATTCTTCAAGACGAAGATGGCTAAGGTAAGATACTTTGCTTATTTATAGTGATTTAGGAATCGTCTGATTGGTAAATCATGTGTTAGCTGATGAGGACCAGCTGCTATCAATCATAAGCACATGCTCCTCTCGAAATTAGGTTATAAGTAAACTTCACTTATCCATTGCTAACCATTGCTTCCAATACCCATTGTTCTGAATGTCTTTCTTGTTAATATATCTAATTAAACACACCCTGTGCAAAGAACACATTTTGTGTTGCCTGGCAGAATTAATGATTGCCAGTGATGTTTTCTGTTTGAAGGTGCTTTGGAAGCAAGTAATGTTTCTTTCACTTTCTATTTCCTGGAAATGAGTGCTATTATGGGACTGACACGGTGGCTCAGTGATTTGCACTGTCGCAGTTTCCATGTTCTCCCCGTGTTGGGTTTCCTCTGGGTGCTTTGGTTTCCCACACAAGTCCAAAGACATATGCTCAAGGTCAGGTGTGAACAACCCTGTTCCTAGAGATCGACCTCCCTGCAGATTTCAGTTGCAACCCATATCAAATACACCTGCCTGTTATTATCAAGTGCTGTTCAGGTCCTAATTAATTGGTTCAGGTGTGTTTGATCAGGGTTGGAGCTGAACTTTGCGGGAAGGTCGATCTCCAGGAACAGGGTTGAGCACCATTGCTCTAGGTGAATTGAATAAACTAAATTGTCCATAGTGTACGAGTGTGAATGAGTGTTTATGGATGTTTCCCAGTACTGGGTTGCAGCAGGAAGGGCGTCTGCTGTTTAAAACTTATCATTGCTTGATAAGTTGGCGGTTCATTCTGCTGTGGTGACCCCTGACGAATAAAGAGACTAAGCTGAAGAAAAATGAATGAACGAATGAGTCATTCATTCATTACTTTTTTAGTCCCTTTATTAATCCAGGGTCGCCACAGCGGAATGAACCACCAACTTATTCAGCACATTTTTACTCAGCAGATGCCCTTCCAGTTGCAACCCATCTCTGGGAAACACCCACACACACTCATTCACACTTGTACACTATGGACAATTTCAGCTTACCCCATTCACCTGTACCGCATGTCTTTGGACTGAGGGAGAAACGGAGCAATCGGAGGAAACACACGTGAATGCAGGGAGAACATGCAAACTCCTCCCAGCCGAGGCTCGAACCAGCGATTTTCTTGCTGTGAGGTGACAGCACTACCTACTGCGCCACTGCATCGCCGAATGAATGAGTGTTATTATTTAAAATCAATCAACATTGAGACAGAGAAGGACAAAACAAAGAAACTGAAACAATTGATGTCGTGGTCAATTTATGTTGATAGAACATTGCTTGCCAGACTGGGTCTGGGTTGCAAAATTATTCAAATAACCTGGAAGCACAACACAAATCAGTTTGATCAGCAATAACCATTTTAAATTCCATTCAATAAAATTTTATTTGTATAGCGCTTTTACAATGTAAATTGTGTCAAAGCAGCTTCACATAGAAGATCATAGTAAATTGAAACAGTGTGGTTCAGTTTTCAGGGTTTAAGTTGTTCAGCTCAGTTCAGTGTGAATAATAATCCCTAAAAATGTGTCAAATAAATAATCAAATAAATGTGCTACTTGTGTCTAAAATATCATTATTTAGTCATCTCCAGGGTGCCACGGCAGCACAGTGTGATCACCTCACAGCAAGAAGGTTGCTGGTTCGAGCCTCAGCTGGGTCAGTTGGCATTTCTGTGCGGAGTTTGCATGTTCTCCCTGTGTTGGCGTGAGTCTCTTTCAGGTTTCTCGTTTGTAATGAGTGTGTATGGGTGTTTCCCAGTGATGAGTTGTGGCTGGAAGGGCATCTGCTACCTAAAACATATGCTTGATAAGTTGGTGGTTCATTCTGCTGTGGCCGCCCCAGATTAATAAAGGGACTAAGCTGAAAAGAAAACAAATGAATGAATTGTTATCTTCATAATTTACAGTTAGTTCCTTATAATGGCTTGAATGCCATGAAATGATTATCTGAACCTAGGACTATTCTTCCAAATTTAGCAAACTTGCAATTGTGATGGTCAATGAGTTGGTGCTAAAAAAATTATAAATGTTATTTATTTTTGCTAGTTGGTGTTGGAGAGGGGTTTATTTAAGAAGCTATTGTAACACTTTTAATAAATATTGGGGAATACTTTAAGCAAAAAATCTTTTTTTTTTTTTAATATTTACATCCACAATAAAAAAGTTGGCATTAATATACAGAACCATCATCTTTGCATATGTGCATCACACTAAGTACACTTTTTCTCTTTTTCTAACATAACATAACAGATATAGTAAACTGTTGTGAGTACATTTACTTCCATGAATGGAGGGGCATGATTGCAACGTAAAGACAGCTGTTAAAATACGTTCAGTTTTTATTTAAAGTAACCCCCCCCCCCCCCCCCCCAAACAAGTCATCAATTTGTGTGTGTGTGTGTGTGTGTGTGTGTGTGTGTGTGTGTGTGTGTGTGTGTGTGTGTGTGTGTGTGTGTGTGTGTGTGTGTGTGTGTGTGTGTGTGCGTGTGCGTGTGTGTGTGTGTGCGCGTGTGTGTGGGTGTGTGTGTTTGGAGGGGCCTCTCGTTAAGTGAAAGTAAAACCAACCAAACATATACTGTATATAACCTGCTTCTAGTGTACACCTTGTTACATTTGCTTGCAGTGATTCAAGCCAACTGTGTGGGATCAAGCTGATAGATTCAAGAGGGGAAAAACAAAATGGGATCATCAAAATCACAACCACAACAACCACCACCACCAAATCCAGGTGAGAGGGTCCTGTATAAAAAAAAACAAATATTGTTCTACAGTGTATTCAATACCAACCATAAATGAATAAATGTGTAGAATTATTTGATCCATTTCAGATGCATTTTTTTTACAAAACTCTTTTAGTAAACAGTTATTCATTCATTAACACAAGAGTGTGATCACTTGACATCTGCAGGATAATTAAAAAATAATACTTCAATTTAACTGTGGTGTTGAAAAAATATTACACTTAAATTTAATATTTCACAAGATCTTATTAATTTTATTTACAAGTTTATTAAAGATTTCTCCTAACACATTAATCTGGGTTTTTCTCATTTTTGCACCCTGATCTTAAATTATTTTGTAACAAAAATTCCAGTTTAGCTTTTGGTATACAGACTAATGTAAAACCAATAAACCAGATCTGCACATATATTTAATTAAATAGTATCCAATATCATTTTTTTTTTCTCTCTGAGAAATCTGTTATGCTGGCCACTGTGTATATACACACAGAATATGACATAACTAGGCTGTTTATTAGTATTGATTAATGCATTTTCTCAATATTTCAGATTCTTTCATTCCTTAAAGGCAAAATTGATGTTTGGCGCAAAATTGTTTTTAATAGTTAATATTGCGAATTGGTCCCCAGACTAATGTGTGACCACATATATCATTTTGCAAATACATACAAATGTATATTTTTAATAATTTATGTATGTACATTGTTTCTCTTATAGAACTGAATAAACCATGGAGGAAATTTGACTGGAGGTAAGCTATATTTACCTATTTAGCCATTTCAATGTGGTCATGTTATTGGTCCATGAACATTTACTGTTTGTTATCAAACCATTTCATAACTGTAACAACAGACAATTGAATCATAACTTAATGTTAAAACAGCTATCATAACATTATTCATCAATATGTGACTCTTTTTGGATTCTTCAAAGTAATAAAAATAAAAGATGTGAAACAGGAAATACGTTGGGACCATTGTTTTTGTTTACATCCTTCATATACACTTTGCTATTTTATTACTATGTCATATTTATTTTTTTAATCACTCTTGATGTGTGCATGACAATTTCATCAAGTCTGTTCACAAGTTGGTCTGTCCTTTTGTGTGTGTATGTGTGAGAATGTGTGTGTGTTCACAAAATCGAGTTAAAAATACAATTTATTGAGTAAGTTAATAGATAGAATAAATAATACTCTGTACAACTACTGTTTTTTCATTACTGTGATGGTTGGGTTTATGGTTGGGGTGGGGGTAAACGTTAAGAAAATAATTGGCAAACACTGCTCAAAACAGTGTTACAGTGTTACTAAGGACATCTAGTGGACAGCACATACTGTCATTAGTCCTCTAATCTATATTGTGGAACCCTATGAGCAGCAAAATCAAAAATAAAATGTAATATGTGAAATTACAATGTATTTAATGTAATATGCAATGTGTTAATTAGCAGTTTAATTCTGGAATTAAATTAGCACTTTCTAAAACCTCATGGTAAAAAGTTTGGTGCAAAAAAAAAAAAAAAAAATATATATATATATATATATATATATATATATATATATATATATATATATATATATATATATATATATATATATATATATATATATATACATATTACATTTATTTTGTAAAGTTTTAAAATGTAATTTCTATACTAATTTGAATAATTTTAAGCCAAAAAAAATATATATTATTCAAACAGACTGCATACAACATGCAAACAACTAGTAAATGTTAGTGTACTGAATTATAATAGCATCATAGACAATTACATTTATGACAAATTATGTTATCTTGGTGATGTCAAGATGTCATGAATGACAGAGACATGTTTTGTTGTATTTGGTTATGTCAAGTTGTCAAGAAAGACATAACCAAAGAGATGCCGGCAGCTAGCTCTCTGCAACTCTCACATGGTCGCCCACTGAAGCTAAGCAGGGCTGCGCCCGGTCAGTACCTGGATGGGAGACCACTTGGGAAAGCTAGGTTGCTGCCGGAAGTGGTGTTAGTGAGGCCAGCAGGGGGCTCTATACTGACGGGTGACTCTATAGTCACGGGGACTCTATACTGCTCAGTGAGCGCCGTCTTTCGGATGAGACGTTAAACCTAGGTCCTGACTCTCTGTGGTCGTTAAAAATCCCAGGATGTCCTTCGAAAAAGAGTAGGGGTTTAACCCCGGCATCCTGGCCAAATCTGCCCACTGGCCTCTGTCCATCATGGCCTCCTAACCCTCCCCATATCATGATTGGCATATCATCACTCTGTCTCCTCTCCACCAATCAGCTGGTGTGTGGTGTGCGGTCTGGCGCAAAATGGCTGCCGTCGCGTCATCCAGGTGGATGCTGCACACTGGTGGTGGATGAGGAGATTCCCCCCCCCATTGTGTAAAGCGCTTTGAGTGCCCAGAAAAGCGCTATATAAATGTAACGAATTATTATTATTATTATAACTCAAACAATGTCACCTTTCATTTAAAATGACACTACTGAGCCAAGGACAGTTGTCATAATCATTTCTCCTTCATATTCTTGACATACATGATTATAACGGTTTCAAGACGGTCTTGTGGACATCACTTGGAGTGTTACCACATAAAAATATGTATAAATATAGGGAGTGTGTAAAATCTCATGAGGTGTTTAGTTTTATCGTTCTCCCTCTAAGAATAAACCTATATATTTTTGATTTGATTGTCAAAAATTTAGTACAGTAAAATGTTCTTCAAAACAGTCAGCTAATTCATTGTGTTTGTATTCTCTAAAGATCTAGAGTATAAACTTGTGTTTTGACAGACAAAAAGAAGCCCTGAAAAAAAAGCTGGAAAACTTCTCTCCGAGTGATCCAAACGTTAAGGAGATCAAGATCCTAGTGGCTGGACAAGTTGGAGCAGGAAAGTCCAGCTTCATTAACTCCATCGAAAGTGCCTTTCAAGGACGGATCTCCACAAGAGCACTAGTTAACTCAGCTGAAGGAGACAGTCATAGTTTTACACAAAAAGTAGGTATTTGTTAAATTTTTCCCATGCCCGTAGCCAACCTGGTGAAAAGGGTAGTCCTTTTTTCTCAAAAAGTTGACCTTTTTGCAGTTAATCAACTCATTTTCAATTTAATTATGAGATTTAAATACTGCACTTTAGTGACATTTTAAGTGATATTTTATAAGTGAAGTTTATTAATAAACTAATTTTGAGTGGATCACGTTTATGATTGCTTGCGGCTGGTCCCACATTATTCAATTTATGATTCACCAATCAGACGATTCCTATGCCTATAAATACCCCAAGTCCCATATAACAGCCATCTTCGTTTTGAAGAATCCCCCTTTCCATCCCTACTCCTCCTCCTTTCCTAGATGGGTGGCACGGTGGCCCAGTGGTTAGCGCTGTTGCCTCACAGCAAGAACATCACTAGTACTAGTCCTTACCAAGCCATCTGAGTTTTTTGTGAGGAGTTTGCATTTTCTCCCTGTGCTCACGTGGGTTCCCCCATGTTCCCTGGTTTTCTTCCAACATCCAAAAATATGCAACTTAACCTTATTGACTAATCCAAATCGGCACCATAGACATGCTCCTAGTAGGTAGTTATCTCTTAAGAGCAATCACTACCTGTTCATTAGCTACTAAACCAGGGGAATTCTCGAGATCTACCTGAGCTCAAACTCCCCTCTCGCCTTGCAAACCGGAGAGAGCCTCGGGCTCGAGGATCTTATGCTATCAGGGCTCTCTCCCTTGCGGCTGGAAGGGCATACACTGTGTAAAAACGTGCTGGATAAGTCGGCGGTTCATTCCGCTGTGGTGACCCCGTAGTAATAAAGGGACTAAGCCGAAAAGAAAATGAATGAATGAACTTGCTTGTTAATTAAATCCTGTTTTGTTATTTAACCTGTTATTTTTATGCAACAGTCAAGTTGCTAATTTATTTTTGGCATGATGATTAATATAAAATTGTTATTATTGGTATATAGTCACCATGCAATTTTTAATTTATTGCATTTTTTTTTTTTTTGCTTTGAGAAGGCTATTCTAAGATCAGTTCAAACTTTTATAAAGTTTTAAAATAAAATCAGCTGTTCACTGTATAAAATTATAACATTTTGAAATATTTATATTTATCTGACTATATATCGGTTATCAGCCTCCAAATCTAAAGAGTTATCGTTTATTGATATCAGCCCAAAAATCCATAGCAGTGCATCCATAAAAAATATAAACTTTTTATTGATCTTTTTGACACAGTAGTCTGTAGGGAAAACAGTGTGTTTCATCTTTTTAAGACAAATAGATTAGTTCTTTGTGTTTTCATATCAATTGAAATTCATTTTTAGGGGTTCACATCAAATGTTTTTTTATTGTTATTTTAAACTTAATAATTGTGTTTATGAATATAAATTTGGAATATAAATTGATCTGTTGAAAGCAGGTTGTTTTCAGTTAGAATGTCAAATGTTCTCCTCCTATTCAAATTTTACATTGAAGGGTTCTGACAACATTTTTGCCCACCGGCAACTATAGTTGCTAAGTATTTTTTTTCTTGAAAAAATAAATAAATAACCTGGAGAAAATAAATGCAAAACATTTTCATATAGGACACCATTAACAAAGCTACATGCAAAATTTGGGCACAAATGAGTTAAAGCCTTTTTTAATGGATTATTTTCGCAATTATGGTGCCATAGCAGTCAAAATAAGACAAATGAGTTCATTTATGGGACAAATTCTGGACACTTGCCAGTGAGGGGTGGGTCTTTTGAACCCCCTGGCTTCAAGCCTGTCTCCAAAAAAACATAAGTATTTTAGCTAATAATATGATTAATTATAAAATTTGTTTGCAAATATATTTGTTCTTGTATAATTGTAGCTCGAAGGTTTTACCATCAGAAGTGGGAGAAAACCTTTGCCCTTCGTCTTCTTCGACATCATGGGTTTAGAACCTGCAGCATTGGTTGGGACACAAACAGAGGACATCATCAGTGCTGTGTTTGGCCATGTGCAGGATGGCTATAAAGTAAAAAAAAATAAACTAACAAATCACTACATTAATTGTGCATTAAACTTAATATTTGTATGTGTGAATGTATGGTGTTAACATATTTTGCTAAATTTCTAACCTTAGCTCAACGAGGAGCAGCCACTCACTTTTCAGGATCTAGAATTCACCACGAACCCCAACCTCTCCGATCAGTCTTTCTGCCTGGTTTATGTCATAGACGCAGTTACATTCCAACTTGTAGAGGATCGACTTATTGACAAGCTGAAGATCATCCGCAAGAGAATCAGTGATAAGGGTAAACTCCCCCCTGAATGTTCATGATGATAGCCAGCATATAGTTTATTAGCTTGTGTTTTAAGCAAATGAAGCCTCAGATAATCTGTGGCTTGGGTATATACAGTATCGGCAGCAAGGCTAGAAATGTTGGTTGTTTTTGAAATAGTGTGCAAAACACAAAATGCATGATAAACATGTCCCACAACACGCCAGTCCAACTATTCTTCTTCTGACAAAAAATTGCAGTGTCCTAAAGCTGATGAAACAGCAGGATTAAGAGTGAAAGCAAGCATGGCGTCTGGTCATGTGCTGGTCCTAACTGGTACTGGCCATGTGCTGGTAAGGATCAGGTTAGGACCAGCACATTTGGTGAACATCATGTGTACAGAACGTAATTAAGGGATAAACGGTGAACTGACGACCAAATTTAGCTGTAGTGTACACGTGGCCATTGAAATTGTCACTCGCCATTACTCAATGGTTACTCAAAATTAAATCACCACGAATATATAGATTTTTTTTTTGTCTATGAGGCATTAGTCTGACTTTGCCAGTGCCACTTTGGTCCTTATATACAGGAACGTTGCTATTGATATACAGTACAGTAGTCAACATTTGAAGTGGATCAAAAAAGTTTTTCAAAATGGCCTTAGAACACAAATGAGATTTGTTCAATAGGGCAACTTTAAAGGGCCATGAAACCCCCTCGTTTCAGCAGGGTGTTTTCACACCTCTACTTTGGAAAAAGTCAGAAAAGTGGGCGTGTCCAGCTCTGTTTTAGGGAGGAGTGTCGGAGGAAGAAAAGAGGCATGGTGTGGGAGTGTCTATTTGGGCGCTTTGAATTTCAGAGTCAAAACACACACCCAACAGGGGACAAAGTGACTGTGTTTACATGGACATTTGTAGTCGAATTATTTGCCAAATTATTAAATGGTGGACTTTAACTGCAGTTTGGCTCTTTCATTCAGGGAATTCATTCGTGCCCGTCGCGACAAACGAGATATTTGATTTGAGGAACTGCTCTAAACGTGTATTTTTCATGCAATGTTTGATACCGCACGGCGAATGAGAAAAAAAAAAAACCTCTGCATGTCCCGCAAACTAAGATGCACTCGGCAGGTAGCGTCAGAAAGCCGCGTGTGTTATTCCGGTCACAAAATGCGGTAAAAACCCTACACGAGGTTATAGTTTGGTTGTGGTGCTAAAATGTTTACACTCAGTGCAATAGTTTGTTCGATACAAACAAACTGAATAAACAAAGAGCACTGGTCGCGCACCAAATCTGTAGAGACAGGACAATCCACAGCAACTAGAGCCGCGTTTTTATTAAGAGAAGACTACAAGCGAATCTGGATCTCAGCGTTTGCAGATGAGAACAGCTCTCAGGTAAACAATAATCCTCCTTAGACACGTAAGTTATTGTTGTGGCACGTCACGTACACTGTAATCCACACGTGAGTCTGAGCTCTCACAGAGAGAAAATGAAAACAAAACTTTGAAAACAAAACTATAAAAGCAACACTTCACGCTTGTTTTGCCAACACAACGTGCAGGGCCGGAGCAAGCTGACCTGCCGCTCTAGGTAAAGGACGGTCACGCCGCCCTCAAACCTAAAGTGAAACCAGGGGGTATTTTTTCTATTCTGCCACCCTAGACGCGGCTATAAATGAGGCGCGGGTGGCGAGGGTAGTTTAGGGGACGCCACCCTCTCTATTCTGCCGCGCTAGTTTCGGATTTAACTGAGGCGCGGTTGGCGAGGGTATTTCGGGGACGCCGCTCTCTATATTCTGCCACCCTAGACGCGGATATAATTGTGGCCACGGGTGGCGAGGATAGTTTCGGGGACGCCGCTCTATCTATTCTGCCACCCTAGGCGGCCGCCTAGGTCGCCTCTATGGAAGTGCCGGCCCTGACAACGTAGCGTCTCTGTCGTCTAAACACTGGATACAGTAATGAATATTAATGAAGTTGCAAAATAGAAGGCGCTGATTGGTTTGAACCAAGCTTTACTCATGCATTAATGCAACACACTGTAAGACGTAATAAGACACACTCTGGCACAGACGTCCAGTCTGCACGCTGGAATACACGCTATTATGTCATGACCGTGACGCAGCTTCAAAAATTCGTTTCAAATCGGAAGTACGAATTTGCTTGAAAAAACGCAAAAATAACCAATTTACACTTTTTAGTGAAATATAGGTGTCCTAATAGTGTTTTTAGCAGTGTGGGACACATATACGACTGTCAACAGCTCAAAAAATTTGTTTTGGTGTTTCGTGACCCTTTAATGAAAGTTTTTTTAGCCACTGACTATACCCTTTTACAAAAATTACCACAAATTTGCTTTGGTTGTTAGGGGATTTTTTTCTTTAACCTCTACATTGAATCTGTATTTGTTATAGGCATTCCCCAAGTGGTTGTTATGACCAAGGTGGATGAAGCATGTCCACTGGTCGGAAATGATCTGAAGATGGTCTACACGAGCAGGAGGATCAAGGAGAAAGTATGTGGCCATCCAACATGTATGACTGCTGCTTTTATATACTGCTTTTTTCTTTTACATATTATTTGATTTATTGGTTTTGCATCCTGTTTCTGTCCAGATTGTGCAGTGCAGTAATAAACTGGGTGTGCCGATGACAAACATCTTCCCAGTGAAGAACTACCATGAGGAGATCGACACAGAAAATGATGTTGATGTTCTGATACTGAAGGCTCTTGAACAGATTGTTCAGAGTGCAGATGATAGGTTGCTGGATAATGAAAAATATACTGAAACTTAAGTAACACATGTGTAACTAATTGAATTAAATTATTTTTTGAAGGATAACAGTCTATGACTCAGCAGAGTATTGTGTTTTATCATTCACGTGTACATACAAACGGTTTCAAAGCTAAAAAAATTTCAATATATTTTCAATATATATGATATTTCAATACTCAAGACCGCAAGAATAGAGGACACGTGAACGAACCAGAATGGGTTTTTGATACTAAAAACGCATTGATGCAGACAGATTTTTTTTTTTGAAGATAAACAATACAACTATAAATGCCCTGGTACAAAATACAAGCTTCCTTATTAAGACAACAGGCAAGCATAAAAAAATAAAAATAAAAAAATAAAACACATAGAAGTATTCAGCAAGTTCAATGTGTTTTATTAAATTTATCAAGAAATCTTGTGATTTCACTTTACACTGTATTTAAATGATGATGATGGTGATGATGGTCCAGGATCAACATTACTGAATTTACAATGTATTCAAATGTTGATGAATGATGGTCCAGTATCAACATTAGTGAATTTACACTGTATTTAAATGATGATGAAGATGATAATGATGATGATGATGATCGTCCAGGATCAACATTAGTGAATTTACACTGTATTTAAACAATGTTGGTGATGATGATGATGGTCCAGGATCAACATTAGTGAATTTACACTGTATTTAAACAATGATGATGATGATGATGATGATGATCCAGGATCAACATTAGTGAATTTACACTGTATTTAAACAATGTTGGTGATGATGATGATGATGGTCCAGGATCAACATTAGTGAATTTACACTGTATTTAAACAATGATGATGATGATGATGGTCCAGGATCAACATTAGTGAATTTACACTGTATTTAAATGATGATGATGATGATGATGATGGTCCAGGATCAACATTAGTGAATTTACACTGTATTTAAATGATGATGATGATGATGATGATGATGATGGTCCAGGATCAACATTAGTGAATTTACACTGTATTTAAATGATGATGATGATGATGATGATGGTCCAGGATCAACATTAGTGAATTTACACTGTATTTAAACAATGATGATGATGATGATGATGGTCCAGGATCAACATTAGTGAATTTACATTGTATTTAAATGATGATGATGATGATGATGATGATGATGATGAAGATGATGATGATGATGATGGTCCAGGATCAACATTAGTGAACTTACACTGTATTTAAACAATGATGATGATGATGATGATGATGATGATGGTCCAGGATCAACATTAGTGAATTTACACTGTATTTAAACAATGATGATGATGATGATGGTCCAGGATCAACATTAGTGAATTTACACTGTATTTAAATGATGATGATGATGATGATGATGATGGTCCAGGATCAACATTAGTGAATTTACACTGTATTTAAATGATGATGATGATGATGATGATGGTCCAGGATCAACATTAGTGAATTTACACTGTATTTAAACAATGATGATGATGATGATGATGGTCCAGGATCAACATTAGTGAATTTACATTGTATTTAAATGATGATGATGATGATGATGATGATGATGATGATGAAGATGATGATGATAATGATGGTCCAGGATCAACATTAGTGAACTTACACTGTATTTAAACAATGATGATGATGATGATGATGATGATGATGGTCCAGGATCAACATTAGTGAATTTACACTGTATTGAAATGATGATGATGATGATGATGATGATGATGATGATGATGATGATGGTCCAGGATCAACATTAGTGAATTTACACTGTATTGAAATGATGATGATGATGATGATGATGATGATGATGATGATGGTCCAGGATCAACATTAGTAATTTTATACTGTATTTAAATGATTTTTATGATTCAAGATCAATTTGCTCCACTCAAAATGTCAAGGATTTTAAGAATAATTAGGTAATTTTCTTTGTATTCCTGCATGGATTCTCTGAACACAGTTTACTATGCACACATCTTTGTTCACAAATGCTAGCACATTAGCTAAACTGCACATACCAGTTGTATACTGTTCAGTGTAGTATTATGTCAGGTATGAAACACATTTTTATGTAATTTTTAAAAGTTATTTATAAGTTTTACAAGGTTAAACAGTAGACGGAATACCTTACTTTTTTTCAGCTTGGACTACAGGCAAAAAAAAAAAAAAAAAAAATTCAAAACGATCTGATGGGGATGTGATCAGCACACACGGACAACATCAGAGGGCTGTGATTGGTTGATTAAAAAGGTAATCCATAATCAACAAGGAATGTTAATCCAGGATCACATCCTATTTGGCAAAACCATTCGATCCCATTTTATTAGGTAATCTTTATTGTTGAACTGCATACATATATTGAAGTTGTTATCCAATTCATCTTGAATGCAAGGCATTATTAAACTTTAAGAGTAACTGTCTATTTAGTCTGTGATATAGAAGCGAAAGACAAAAATGTTTGTATGTATATTTTACAATGTTATAAATTAAAACTTTTGTCTCTCTCTCTCTGTGTGTGCGTGTGTGTGTTAATAACCACTTTTTTATTTTTCTATTTTCCCTTCCTTGTAGTTCTGAGAAAGCCATGCTCTCACATGGCATATTTAAATGTTTTTGTTTTGTTTCTGTCTCTCTGTATAGCACTCCTAATTTAGTTTTTACTTGTACACACTTGTTCTCACATTAATTCTCACATTAATAGGGACCAGTTAATAGCTTATGAGTTTCTCAGCATTCCAAGGTTCAAGTTTAGGCTTGATAGAGGTGCACCACACCTGAAATTCAGAGACTCAGCAACTGCACGCAGTTCAGGGGAATAAGTGCAGTAAAGGTAGACAGTTTAATTCTGAAATGTAAAACAGAGAACAGAGAAAGCAGATATTGTGTGATTCCTGCTCATGTTTTGTTGCTATATAATAGGTGAAAGGGCATTTGATATTATAAACCAACATGATGACAGGGGGCTGAGATGAGACTATCACTAGCTCAATAGCTTGAGTGTGTGAAACTGTTTTAAACATGTCATTAATTACCCTGTGTTTCTTTAAATGTTTATGGTTTTGTTGACATATTTACCAAACTTAATTATGTCCATTATCCTTTAATGTTTGTTTGAAACAGTGACAGTTTGATATATTGTGTTTCTTTTGATTGCTGATATGTGCGCATATCAGAGGACATACTCTTAAAGTAGTAAAGCATAAAATCTATGTTATTTATCACTCACGCTCAAGTCATTTCAACCCCCTGAGTCCATCCTTCATCTTCAAAACACTAAAATCTGAGAGCCAATACTAAATTTGGTTTACTAAAACTAGACGTTTGCTATTCTGTTAGAGTCATTTTAATTGATTAATTAAACCCTGGGATGGAAAAGTATCAAAATAACTCATTTTACAATTATTATTTTTTTAAGAACATTTGTAGAAACCTCTGAAAATGGCTAAACGTCTAAAGAACTTTTTCCCCACATAAAGAACTATTTGTCAGTAATTGGAGAGAGGTATTCCAGAGTTTTGAGGCAGTCTCTCAATAAGAGTGAAACTGAAACTAATTCCATGTATATTTATTGCAGGTTGGTCAGGTTTGAAGTGAGATACAAGGCAACAGTGTTCCAGGATCAAGCTGATAGATTCAAGGACGAAAAACAAAATGGGATCATCACAATCACAGAAACAAAAAAAACAACAACCATCAAGTCCAGGTAAGAGTAATATATATGTTTGTGTGTCCTTATTTCCAGCATTAAGGAGAACAGTGAGAATTTAAAATTAGGAAATTTATAAATTTCTCTATGAATATGAAAAATACATTGCTGCATTTTTACTGATGAGATTTTCCCCCTGTTATTAACATTTTATTTTAGATTATCCCATAACGCATACATTGGGGTGACATTGGTAATTTCATACACTGGTCATTACTGCTCCATCATTTTTTTAAAGATTTAATTTTGGCATTTTTGCCTTTATTAGATAGGACAGTAGTCAGATACGAAGGGAAGTGGCAGAGAAAGAGAAGGGGGGTAGGGAGGGGAAATATCTTTGAGCTGGGATTCGATTTCGGCATGCCCTGAAGTGCTATCGCACCATATCAGCATGCTAACCACGAGTGCATTGCGCCGACCTCTCTACAGTTTTAATTTATTATGTTTTATACGGCTTGCCTGTTGAGCGCTTAATTCTGATTGAGTAATGAGCATTTTAAAGAATTCAATAAATTTCAGATAAACACACAGCTTAAAAGATCTAGGCAGACCGTCTTGATCAGTTTACCATTTCCATATAACTACTCTAATTGATTTCAGTTATTTCAAAGCCTTTATTAAGAAAAAAAATGAAGCAATTGGAGGACAAAAACCTGTCTTGAAATACAACATCTGAACAGTGTCTTTAGGTGAGGCGACTAAAGGACTCCGGTCCATAGAATATTAAAAAGAAAATTCTTATGAATATTCCTAAAAAAACTATGCTGTTATGGCTTTGCTTTGCATCATCGCAGCATAACCATTTCGGGTGTCTGTTATATTAACTCAGCAGCCTAAGATAGAGGTTATAAGATTCAATTGTAAGTACTGTTAAAATGAGCAGAGTATTTAAAATTAATTAATTAATTATTGATTGATTGATTAGTTTATTTAATCTGTTATGCTGGGAACAGTACACACACACACACACACACACACACACATATATATATATATATATATATATATATATACATACACCACATCCATGTGGTAACATTTTATTTTGGGGAGCAATTTTTACTATTGAAAACCCATTTGCAGAATATTGGAATATAGGGGTGACGCAGTGGTTCAGCAGGTAATATTTGTGTAGATGTTTCCCGGTGATGGGTAGCAGTTGGAAGGGCATCCGCTGCATAAAAATGTGCTGGATAAGTTGGCGGTTCATTCTGCTGTGGCAACTCCAGATTAATAAAGGGACAAGGCCGAAAAGAAAATGAATGAACATTGGAATATACTGATTAATATTGCTTTATTTGGCACACAACTATATTTCAGAACTCATTCATTCATTCGTTAGTTCATTCATTTTCATTTGGCTTAGTCCCTGGTTTGTCAGAGGTCGCCGCAGTGGAATGAATCACCAACTTATCCAGCATATGTTTTACTCAGGGAATGCCCTTCCAGCCACAATCCAGTACTGGAAAAACTCCCATACACACTCATTCACACACACTCATACAATACAGCCAATTTTGTTTACTCAGTTCACCTACACTGCATGTCTTTGGACTTTGGGTAAAACCGGAGCATTTAGAGGCAACCCATGCCAACACAGGGCAAATTCATGCAAATTCCACACAGAAATGCCAACTGGCCCAACCCGGACTCGATTCCAGCGACCTTCTAGCTGTGAGGCGACAGTGCTTACCACTGAGCCACTGTGCCACCCTAGTGTAAATTCCCCTATATAAATTTTTACCAAACACACACATATGAATGCATAAGTTGAAAATGTATTGCAATATATTATGTTTAACAATATATTACTACCCATAGAACTGGAGACACCATGGAGGTCATTTGACTGGGGGTAAGCAAAATTATCTGTAAAATGTTCTCTATAGTCAGACAACTCTGCTTTTACATACTTATTTTTATAGAACATTAAGCTGATCAGATAAAAATGCAAATAGAGCATCATTTTAATTCCAAAAATATTGTTGACATTTATTTTTATTTTTTTTACATTTTACTGTATTCTATACTATATTTATGTGGTTGTATTTTCGTTTTTGCATCACAGTCAAAATGCATGACAGTTTCTGAAGTAATTTGGCTCTGTTGTTTCACACACTCAGTCATAATTGTTATATTGTCATTATATGGACATTTAACAAACATGTAGTTAGATTTTGGAACTTCCAAAACACTTTGCAGACCACAGGAGAAGTTCAACTTCACTTTTATTGTTATAAAACTTGTTTCAAGCCTTGCTAAATGCACATGAGTGGCTTTCCTTGGCAGTGAAAAAGCCATTTGTACAGCATTGAGTAGGGAATGCCATGATAGAATTGCTCAAACCATTACTGATCCACCCAAATGCAACCAATGTTTTTTTGACAGACAAAAAGAAGCCCTGAGAAAATGGCTGGAAAACTTCACTCTGAGTGATCCAAATGTAAAAGACATCAAGATACTGGTAGTTGGACCATCAGGAGCAGGAAAGTCCAGCTTTATAAACTCCATCAACAGTGTCTTTCAAAGACGGATCTCCTCTAAAGCACTAGTTAACTCTGCTGGAGGAGACAATCATAGTTTTACAGAAAAGGTAGGTATTTACTACTTAAAAAAAGTTTAATGCAGTGGGATTTTAATCTAATTGTTTGAGAATTTATTTGAAAATGGTTTGCAAAATATCTGGTCTTGATTTCTAGCTCAAGAGACTTACCATCAAAAATGGGAAAACATCTTTGCCCTTCGTCTTCTTCGACATCATGGGTTTAGAAGCTGAAGAATTTCATGGATCAAAAACAGAAGATATCATCAAAGCTGTGTTTGGCCATGTGAAAGACGGCTATAAAGTACAGTAAAATACATACATTAATTGTGAAAATAACATTTAAAATAAGATTTACATATATGCAGTATGTCTGATGCTTAATATTATGCTGAAATTCCTATCTTAGTTCAACGAGGAGCAGTCAATCGATTATAAGGATCAACATTACACCAGTGACCCCAGCCTCTCCGACCAGTGTTTCTGTGTGGTTTACATCATAGATGGAAAAATAGTTCAGTACACAGAAGATCGACTGATTAAAAAGTTGAAGATCATCCGCAAGAAAATCAGTGATAAGGGTAAAGCTGACCACTGAATGTATATGAATGTTTACTTAATTACTTGATTATATATATATATATATATATATATATATATATATATATATATATATATATATTTATACATACATAGAGAGAGAGAGAGAGAGAGAGAGAGAGAGAGAGACCCAGAAAATGGTTATTGCCCAGTTATAATGTTAGTGAACTCAGACATTTTAAAATCAGTGGATCCTTGTAAATTAGCATGGACCTCAGTGCCTGCACTAAATCTGAAGTATCTTTTATGGCAGGATAAAAAACAGAAAGCTTTGATAAAAACAGCATTACCAATTGGTCAAAATACAATCAAATTAATAAAATGGTACCATTATGTCGCAAGTCTCACAATTAACAAGCCATTAACTTTTACTTTTAGCTCAGTAAACTAATTTGCTGCTTAATAATAGTTATAACATTAGTAGTTAGGTTTAGGTGTTAGTGTCATGCAGAACATGTAGGCTACTTTATAAGAACAAAAACACAGGCAGGTAATAAGCCAGTGATCCTTGGTCCTTGACAAGATCTCAGTTATAGTGAGTACAGTGGGTGAAGACTGTGGACTGTCAGACCATGTAAATGCATTAGATTGAAAACTGAAATATTTACAGCCCTTCCATCCAGCGGTGCCCCCAAGGGGTGGCCATGGCCATCCTTGTGTAAATTCTGGCCACCCCTGTGGCCACTCCAATATGATTTAGTTGTTGATATTAATCATTTAAATGTACTTAGGTAAATTCACAGTTTCAATAAATAAATCAATAAATAAAGTGCAGCCACAAAATTGTGGATTGATCAGTGTTACCGATGTAGCTGATTTACTGAAATTGCACACTTTTTATTAAGAAATTATTAATTTAAAAAATAAAAAGTTGTGTTTTATCTTATTGAAAACCACAAATGCAAAATAAATAAATAAATAAATAGAGGCATTTTAAAATCAGCTTTTCAGAATCTAATTTATTTAGCAACTCCATTATTTTGTTGGTTGACTTAAAAGTGCCAAAAATCTCAACAATTTTGTGGGTGTATTTTGAAAAAAGGTACATCAATAGAAGAATATCTATTAATATATTGTGGCTCAAAAAGGAACATGGATAAATGATAGTATTAGGGTGTGTGTGTGTGTGTGTGTGTGCGTGCATGCGTGCGTGCATGTGCGTGTGTGTGTGTGTGTGTGTGTGTGTGTGTGTGTGTGTGTGGTAATGTCTTTTGTTCAGTTTGTTCATCTGTTTGTTTTATTAATTAATTAATCTTCATTTATTTTAGACATGGCATATACTGTATGTTGTACAAAAATGTATGTGAAAAATAACTTCCCTAAAAGGTGTTTTTAAACTATAATTTTTTTTATTTGGTTTGTACGTGTACTTGTTGAATTATTTTAAGAAATAAATTGCAATATTTGAAGAGTAATTAATGAAATGAATTAAAAACGTCATTATTTCATTTACCAGAAACAAAAATTCATAATATATGCACAATTCATTATTTTGTTTGTGTGCCAGCTCAAGATTTGGTGTGGCCTTACTTGGCCACCCCTAAGAAAATTTTCTGGAGGTGACACTCCTTTCATCCTCTAAGAAACATATAAGACAGAAGCCCATAACTGGAAGATTAGACTTTGTTCTATTCATGTTTACTGTGCAGGAGGTTTTTCTTTGCTGAAAGCTTATAATAGGGATATCATCTCTTATAGCACATTTAATGCCTGGAGATGATATCTGTGTTCTGGCCAGCTCTTTGGCCCTTAAACACTTTCTCCCAGTCACAAGGGGCCATCATGTTCATGTCCGCAAAGACAATGCATTGGTGGTCATTTAAATCAGTACTCAGGGTTTCTAAAGTCCCAACCGCTCTGCACATTGGCACAACGTTCGGCCCTCTATACATGAGTCCCCCTGCAGTGGTGGCTCAATTGCAGGGTGTTTTTCCCCTGAGACCCAAAATGCTTTCCGTATGAACAAGGTCTTGCGGCACTGCCTTCAAGCCTTAAGAATGTAAGTGGAAAAGGCGCTGTTCCAGGGCCCAGTGTTAAAAGCTCTCTGTCATTGTGTCATGCTTATGATAGATGCTTTTTTCATGGGCTTGGTAGCAAAAATCTATTAGTTTGCTAGTGCAGCCTTGGTCTATATGTAGCCTCGCCACTGATATATACCTTTTAACAAACATTACTACAAATATGCTCAATTTTGTGGAGGAAAAAAACGATTGAACCTTTACATTGGATCTCCATTTGATGTAGGCATTGCTCAAGTGGTTGTCATGACCAAAGTGGATGAAGCATGTCCACTGGTCAAAAATGATCTAAGGAAGGTCTACTCGAGCAAGAAGATCAAAGAGAAGGTATGTGGCCATCCAGAGACATGCATGAGTTTCAGTTTTATTTACATTTGGATTGCATTTATTGATGTCACACTCTTGTTTCTGTCCAGATGGAGCTGTGCAGTGCCCACACTGGTGTGCCAATGACAAACATCTTCCCAGTGAAGAATTACCATGATGAGATCGACACAAAAGATGATGTTGATGTTCTGATACTGAAGGCTCTTGAACAGATTGTTCACAATGCCAATGACAGATTGGAGGATAATGAAACCTACTGAAATGGTAATAATACATGTAATTCTTTAAACGCTAAACAATTTCTTTATCTGTTCAAATTATCTGTCAGTTTCTTTTATCTTTAGCTGGAGTACCCATCAGACTCACTAGAGGGCACTTCATATACAGTATGTACACCAGACATTCTCCCTGACTACACATCCCATCATGCTTTGTGCATAATCAGACTTTAATTACCTGCTATAGCTGATATCAATCTGGACATTGACATTTACACCGACTGCACACACCATACAGTGTAAGCACCACATTCACACTCAGTCTTGTATTTCTGTGCAATTAGTATTTTCCTGGTTTATTTCTTTTCGTGGATATTGATTGAACCTCTGCCAGTTTTTTTGGATTACTCTCTTTGGGTTACCTTTTTTTTTGTACTGTTTGCTCCTGTTGACCCTAGCCTGTCTGACCATCCTTGTTTAAATAAAGCTGCGTTTGTAAGTTCATGTATGGCATGTATTTTGAATGAGTGTGCTGCCAGTCAAGGGTGTGAAGAAAAAAAGAACAAGGCATTAAACTTTATGGTTACTCTGTGTTTGTCATCTAATGACTCAATTACAAAACATAAATAAAACATAACATTGTGTTAGAAGTGGGAAATTAGAAATGAGGTTCTCATACTGTCCTGTAGGGCCAGTGTTCTGCTGATTTTAGCTCCAACTTGCCTCGCCACACCTGCAAGGATGTTTCTTGAAAGAGTGTGAGTTGATTTGTGCTAATCTTTTTAGAGATTCTATTCTATTCTATTTTAAAATGGAAAGCCAATGAAGAGAAACCAGTATGAGTGTAATGTGTTCTCATATAAGTATTCCTGTCAACAAACATGTGGTGGCATGTAAGGGAGGCATGGGTAACTAATAAAGGGCATTACAATAATCCAGATCAAGTCAAATAAAATATGTATACCTCCTTCGAAAAGACTTGACTCTGTGTAATTTCTTCAGCTGAAAAAATAGTTTTAATTACCGAACTGCTAGTTTCATTCAGTTTAGTCACTGTAGTTAATACGGCCAAGTTTCACAAAAGAACTTAAAACACCAAGATTCAGATAATCACGAGCACCCTTGGATTCCAATACCACAACTTCTGTATTTCAATCTAGCTTGCTCATCAAAAAATGAAAAGTAAGACTAGGCAAAAAAAAAAATCCAGCTTACTTTGCATTTCAGGACAGGCAAATGTATTGTGACAGACTATGCTGATTAAATTAAGTGTTATAATAAGTTAATATAGTCTATATATTACAAAACGTATTTACGTAATCTTCTTATTTTGTTAACAAAATTGTATCTAGATAAATAAATTTTAAAAACATACCAGAAACAATGTTTTAATGTTTTCTTAATGAAATGCAGCCTTATTTTGAGACTGTTTCAAAAAAGGTTTAAAAACATCTGACCATCTCAACCTTATATTTGTATGACTATACTGTCTTTAATAAATAATTAATTATTACAAAAAATGTAAGTAGATGCCATTGATTTATCCAGAGGGCGAAATTCCACAGCATAATCCATTTAATTAATGTAAAACATTAACACAAAAGAGCAGACTAGAACTCCTTTTAAAAACTAATAACAGTAAATTTCTGTATCAGAATGACTTCATATCAATTTCTTAAAGACAGTCTGAGCTTGAAATTATTAGGACAGCACAAACATCACTTAACCTTGCAATAACTTTAATCATTTTGCATACATTCATGTTCATCAAACCATTCTGTCACCAGTCTTGCTGTGTGTATTAGTGCATTATTATCCTGATACACGGCACCATCTTCAGGATACAATGTTTGAACATGCACATGGGTGCACATGGTCCCCCAGAATGGTTCAGTAGTTCTTGGCACCCATCTAGCACAAGTATTGGGCTTCTCTACACTTTAACACTTGTAGATATGGGAAAGACATGAGGATGGACTAATCAGAGAATATTACATGTTTCACATTGTCCACAGCCCAAGATTTTCAACCAACGAAACCAACGTTTATCATTGGCATGAGTGATCAAAGGTTTGGCTATAGCAGCCTAGCCATGTACAGTTGAAGTCAGATTGATTAACCCCCCTTTAAAATTAATTTTCTTTTTTAAATGTTTCTCAAAAGAAAAAAAAAAGAAAAAAAAACATTTTAAGGTCAATATTATTAGCCCCTTTAAGCAATACATATATATATGACTTCATATATCATCTGATAGGATAATCAATAGTGAGCTGATGTGGACCTGCTGACAACAATCAAAAGCATGGATATTACTTGATACTTTAAGGCATAGCAGGCTTTATAATCCTGAAATGTAAATGTTAAGTTACATTACCACTGCTTGAGAGAAATTACACATTCAAAAAAATGAATATTTCTAATCATTTATGGAGCAAGACATAACAGTTCACACAGGAAAAAGAAGAGTAAGAATGAACAGCTTTAGAGATAATATGCAAGTACTTTATGTTTCTGACCTCAAGTACACATTCTTTCACCCTGCCAGAATGACTGAATGTTTGGCAGAAACTGTTTTTAGGATTGTTTTGAGTGTGTCAGCAAGTTCATTTGAAATGATTTACAAACATTCTAAATTTGCACCAATATAAATATGCTAATTTTTAAATTTCTTGTGGTCTCATTTTCATTGATTATTAAGTACCAAAATAACTAATTTAATATTTACAAGTTTTTTGACACATTTACCTGAAGAAATGTCTTAAAAATGACTAAGCATCTGGATAACAAAAACATCTAAACATCTGGATAACTTAAGTAATTGGAGTAATTTCAGTTGAAGCAGTGTCTCAAAAAGAGCGAAACTGAAACTTATACTATGAAAATATAAAGCAGTGTTGGTCTGCTTTCATTTGTTTGAAGTGAGAAGCAAGGCAACTGTGTTCCAGGATCAAGCTGATAGAGTCAAAGAGGACAAACAAAATGGGATCATCACAATCACAAACAATGCAGCAACCAGGTAAGAGGTAAAGAGTGTCTTTTATATATATATATATATATATATATATATATATATATATATATATATATATATATATATATATATATAGTAATTTTTTCAGGTTATCCACTAATGCATATATTGGGGTGTGGTAATTTCTGTAGCATTTTTAAATAATAATTAACAATTATTTCTTGTAAACTACAGGTCTGTTGAACACTTGATTCTAATTCAGCAATGAATATTTTAAAGGTGCCGTATGTACAGTAAGTGTGTCACCCAGTGGTTAAACTAGGTATTGCACTCCTGGATCAAAACAAACGCAAGCGCAGGTTGCCAGATTTAGGACAGGAGCGAGTGATTCTGAACCATGTTCTTAATAAAAGCAAACGCACCCAATAGAAGTAATATTTTCGATATTAAAATAAGTTTTTGTCCTAAACAAAACTTCAAATTGATATACTATAAACGATTTCTATTTCTCACAGGTAAACAACAGAAAACTATGACAATGATCACCTCAGGTAAACCTCATGTGCTTTATTCAGTGTTAAATTCTAATAATGCAAGTTTGAATGTAATTTTACATGACATTTATTGCCATATACTTAAAGCAGCTGCTGATAGTTCACGTCAGATCTTGAAAATAAAGTAAACAGTTTGAAATTGAACTTTAAAACTAAACACATATTAGTGATTCAGCATCTACATTTAATAATGTTTAATATTAAATTTTAATTAATATTAAATATTTAATATATAAAAGGTTTAACATGTATTAAATAGATTATAAACCTTACAATTTCGTGTGCCTATTCTGTGCTTCTGGCTTTGTTAAAATTTCTGCCTTGCTTCATCTGGTGCAAACAGCCAAATTGCTTATCACTGCGTATCTTGTCGCGGAGCGTGCTGTTAGGACACAGGATTACAATGTAATCAGCTCGCCTAATGTTTACATTCATAATACTTATATCATTTGCTAATTAATAACCTCATGTGAAACTCTGAATGTGTGTCTCATTTTGGAGTCTGCTACTGTCCACGGGAGGTTGAATTTCGGTCACGGACGCATGCTTTCAGAGCCTTTCTAAATTAATGAATTAATGAATAAAAGAAATACGCTATTTTCCATTAAGGCAACCCAGTGTGTTGAAATATAACTGGCTAAACTGACATTGGGCTGGTTAAAATACCCCAAAAGATACAGCATTTTGGTAGGTAAAACACATTTTCAAAGCAGAATATCTGACTTCAACACTGTTTTCCAGATAAACAAGAATGATCACTTAGCATGTTTCTCAAATATCTGCAAACATATTATGGTATTTGTCTGCTAGATGAGTCAAAAACTTACATACAGCACCTTTAAGTATTCAATTAATTTCAAATTAAGCACAGCTAAAGAAAAATTTAAATCCCAGGAAGACGGTCTTAGGATATGATTTCAGTTACTAAGTGAAAAGTTCAGGTGTGTATTATTTTATAATAACTCAACAGAGCATTGTCAATTATTGCTTAATAGTTGCAATTGCATATGGATTAAACAAATGTAAACCAGTAAACTATGATTGCCCAAATAATTCACTGAATAGGATCCCACTCTAAAGATAATACTACTGTTAAAGTGAGCAGTGTTTATTTATTTATTTATTTATTTATTTAATCTTTAATATGGGCACTGTGTATTTAAATGTGATGCATTTACACAGTGCCCAGTGCCCAACTTTAGTTTGCGGAGCAGTTCTTACTATTAAAAACTTATTGCTACTATTAAAGCTTATTTGTAGAATATTCCTGGACTATTTTCTGTTACTGATTAATTATTGCCTTATTTGGCACAACTTTATTTTAGATCCCCTAATCCTAATCTGCAAATTAGATGTTTGTTTGAGACAAAAAGGTTGTAGTTATTGGTTAGTTAACAGTGTGAACAATAGAGTTAATTACCCAAAATTGTGACTAAACATAAACACACATACAAGTTAAAATGTACTACAATATATTATTTTGCTTAACAATGTATTACTACCCATAGAACTGGAGACACCATGGAGGCCATTTGACTGGGGGTAAGCTATCTGTACATAAGTTTTTCTCTATAATATTCTCTATATATACACTATATATAAGTTATTCTCTATATATACACATACATACATACATACATACATACATACATACATACATACATATATACAGCGGGGAAAATAAGTATTTGACACATCAGCATTTTTATCAGTAAGGGGATTTCTAAGTGGGCTACTGACACAAAATTCCTACCAGATGTAGCCATCAAGCCAAATATTGAATTCATACAAAGAAATCAGAACATTTAAGTATACAAGTTGAGTCATAATAAATAAAGTGAAATGACACAGGGAATAAGTATTGAACACACTTTACTTAATACTTTGTAGAAAAGCCTTTGTTGGTGATCACAGCTTCTAGACGCCTCTTGTATGGAGAGACCAGTCGTCTGCATTGCTCAGGAGTGATTCTGGCCCAT